TCGACTTCAGTTGAGGTTGTGCCACTCTCTTATATAGATTGGATCTGGTCGACGGTATAAGAGGGTACTCACAGATGTACGGTCCCGATAGGATGTTTTAATCAGATTGACTGTTAAACCGAGAATAAAAAAACTCAAAGGAAACCCTAGGATTGTAAAATGACAGTGGAATATTAAAATGTTAGGGTAACATCCTTACGACGTTCAGCTATGATCAGACAATATTAATCATTTCATCACTAACGTCTGGAATATAATCTGACATTTTCATAGTCAAGGATTAAAAGCTTGGAGCAAAGGAGATGGGTGGAAACAAATACAAGGCGTATAATATGGTTTACTAAAGACGGGTTCACAGGCAGTTCTTTTCTTTTTCTTTAGCTCGTGAATACTCTAGAAGGCAAATATTCAATCTTCAGCGCGGTACTGAATAATAAAACCAAGTTTTGCCAGAATCATGCCTTCTAGAGTTTTTACGAGCTACAAATTGAACGAGGGCAATAACACAATCATTCTGTGGAAGGCTTTATCCTTGGGTTGTTGTGTTATAACCTATTGTGCTAATATTAGTTTTTCAAAAATTTAGTAGTACGCGTATTAAAGTATACGACCTGGAATTTGAAGTTGATTCACCGTGATATGGTTCTCGTCGAATTTTGAAAAACAACCATGAAAACATGATCTAAATTTGTTTCGCTATTGTGATATGTATCTATTTTCACCCTTTTGTTAATGACAAAAAATCCTTGCAATTTAAAATCCTTCCAGTATATATGCACTATGTAAGCGACACTGAAAAAAGTTCACTCAAACTCGGTTGTAGTGACAAAAGGTTTCTGTTACGCTTGTGATAATCATTCACATCATGTGCAAAGGGCACTTCAAATGGAAATGTGGTTTTTCTGAGACCGAGAGCTTTCTTTAGGAATCCACTGAATCCGGCAAATGTCAAGGTAACTTCAAACAAACGTCTTTCAAGAAGTTAATGATAAGGTAACGGTATCAGTATATAATTAAGCCTATTGTGGTTAGTGATTCATTCTTAGAATCAATGTCACTGTGCTTCAATAATTACTAGACATAAATTACCAAATCCCCTATTCTTTATGTAAATAAAACTCGAGTCTGTGTTATTATTTATTAAAATAAAGGAAATAGATTCTTATAAACATTTTCTAATTCTTATTCTTAAATAATATTAGTAATATGAGAAGCTGGGCTCCAGAAATTCCAACTCTGCACAAAAAGTGAATTGTAGAGTTCACAACAGATTCACATTCCATTAGAATTGCCAAGTATCTTGGTGAATGTTTGAAATTTCTGTGCTTGTAATTTGTTTATTCAGTCCCTGCTTCACATATTACTGTTTCACATATATCAGCAGCTTTATGTAATGACAACAAAACATAGCATTACATTGTCACAATTACACATACATAAATCATAGCTTATAAAGTTTGTTAAACATACCTATTGTATATTAGACCTGCCCATAAATTGCTAATCCCACCCCAAATTTGTTAAGACACACCCATAGTCTATTAGATCCATTTTTGTTAGATCCACCCTTAATTTGTTTTACTCATCCATAGTTTGTTAGACACACCCATAGTCTATAAGACATACCCATAGTTTGCTAGACACACCCATGGTTTGCTTGACACACCCATAGTTTGTAAGACATACCCATAGTTTGCTTAACACACTCATAGTTTGCTCGACACACCCATAGTTTGTTAAACAAACCCATAGTTTGTAAGACATACCCATAGTTTGTTAGACACATCGATAGTTTGTTAGACACACTCATAGTTTGTTCAACACATCTCAAGGGTATTGGGAGTTTGATAGTTCCATATTCCAAGATTATTAAAACATTACAAAATTTTTTAAACCTATCCCATGAGAGTGAAAAATATCCCCTGACAAGGGGCTTATCTAAACATAATGAAAAATATAAATTATGAGTATGTGAATATATAATATTATGCTAAATACCTCAATATTGTGGACATTCAGGAGAACTATGAGCTAATTTAACAGAGCTAGATTTTGAATCCTCCATACAAAGACAAGCTAATTAATTCAAGCTAATTATCAGGCGTAAATTAACACAGAAAAGATATATCTTACATGTAGATTAATGAAATGTAATGAAAAATAGGCACTTTCACTTCATAATATTTGATTTTAGTTTTAGATCTATTGTTCTCAATAAATCAAGGCATTATGATGTGCAAAAAAAAGGAATCACTAACAAATGAGATAAAAGCAATGCCAAACTTATTTACCAACTTTCTTATTTCTCTATAACATTTTTATCCATAAACACATCATGAGGTTATCAAAACAATTTTTATTTGCAGGCAATTTATTTTGTGATGGGTGTCCTCATTAGTTCTATGGCAAAAATGTTATACAACTCAAAAGAAGATCTTTTTTCATTTTTAAAAATATATCTGTAAAAATTGCAAGTTAGACATGAATTTGCTACAATTTATAAAATATAAGAATCTCAATTTTTTCAGATTTACAAATTGCAAGCTGAAAAAAACTAGACACCAAAAAATGAAATATTACCCTGGTAATAGAAGAGATTTGACTGTCAAAAAGTCGAACTGCACAGTCAACAACCTTGCCATTTTTCAAGTTGAAAATTTAGATACTAAATCAAAATACAAAAACCTATAAAATTGTGGGTTGGTGAAATAATACAACTTAATAAAACTAAAAATCTTAAATCGTTATAATAAAATGAAATCAAAATGAAAAGTTGACAAAATTAACTTGGAAATATAAACAAAATAGAAGCTGAATTTGATTCAGTTTTATTGAGCCATCAATTTTTGTGACCTATTGCCTTCAGACAACACCAAGCTTTCCACCATTTAAATAATTCATTTTTTGCTGGAATTGTCAAATTACCAGTGATGCTCAAGCCCAAAAGAAGAACAAGCATAAATTTTTGTTTTCTGTAAATTATTCTAAATGATGACCTTAAGGGCTACACACGTTTCATAAAGAAAGAAAAAAAAAATTATATCCTCTTTGAAATCAGCAGAGTCAATCAGCTGTATAGAACCATTACTACTATGAAGAGAAGAGGTTTTTTTACAAATATCTACAAGAGGTTTGTTCTATTTATATCCTATTTATTAAGAGGTTTAGAGGAGGTTTGTTTAGGGTGTATGAGGAATTATACAAAATCTTTTTTTGCCCAAATCAACAAAAATCTTGACCTAATCTTTTATATAATTTATAAAGATATGTTCTTGTTACATAAATATATACTAAAGTGATGTTCTTATGACATACATTTTTCATTGCATTTAACCTCACTCATGGAGGTTTTTATAAACATGCATTTAAGATGGAGGTTTTTGTTAACAATTGTTTAATGCTTTAAGAGGAGGTTTTTATCTATATTCACTAAAATGGGAGATGTTTTTAGTTCTATCAGTCTACCAGTAATATATATATACACTTTTCAGGACTTTTCAGGTATCAACATTACCTTCATATTTATTATTGGCACTTTTCTCCTATCCATTACTACCCTTACTAAACATGTATTTACAATGAATTGCCAACAGATCAAATAGAGGCCAAAATGAAAAGGAATTATGAAATTTTTATAAAAAATATCAAAATTTGTGAAATGAAATTAACACATTAAAGGTATTGTATAGAGGTGTTCTATTTTTTTTAAGTGTATTGGAGACACTGATAGCATCAATTTGCACCATTCCAATTTTCAATCAGACATCTGTGGTTCCTGCTATTCCTCAAATAAAAAAATGTAGAAAGCCGTTAACATTATCATAGGCTTAATGAAATCAAATAATTCTATTTTAAAATAGAACTACATGCCTTAATTTTTCAATTTGAGTTGAATTTAAAAGACTAACATAAGCCTTCAGTCAACACTAATAAATACAGGTCTATACCAGAGTATAATTGTTCATTAGTTCAGATCTAAATTCACTGTCTAAACGGATATAGTCATCAACTGTTAGAGCTTAATTTCAGCACTCTATAGAAAATATCAAAATTAATAATCCAACTTAATGTTCTTCTAAAATTAAACACAATCAGTCTGAAGATTGAATTTGCCCAACTGTCAACATGCCAAACACTCTGCTTGTTAGTTGGACACATTTCATGTAGTTAAAACTGTCATCATTTCTAGACTAACTGTCACAATTGTCTAGGAATCTGATAATAGATTTCAATTCTAAAAAGTGATACAATTTGAAATTGGAATTTGATTATTTGGAAAGCAAATTTAATTGATAACATCCCTTTATCATATTAATTTGTTTAGTTGAGTTTATATAATATTATCAAAGTTGCACTGCAAACTAACAAATTCAACTTTTATAGTTTCAACTTTTCAAAAAAAAAAATGCAGATAAACTGATGTTCTTGCCAAGGGAACAGTCAAATCTAAAGACACATCTTTCTTATTTAAGATAATTTTCATCCTTAAAATAATCTAAATAATAATAAAACAAACAAAAAAATTGTTGAATTCAAGCATTCTTCAAATTAACTTTTATATTAATATTGTAGTTTCTCCTTAATAGTATGTATATTACAAGCCAAGATGAAATATGTTAAGTGGCAAGACAGATATAAAATATAACATTATAGCTCTAGTCAAAACAAAGATTAGAGCACATCTGGGTTTAATCAAAACATAACACATTTTTTTAGAGAAGAATAAATAGTACATCATTGATTGTTGACAAAATGGTAGATCAGCAATATTGACATAGAACCTCTGGTGAAAAATTCTAAATTTTTTGTCACTGTTATGTGCACCTCCTAGTATGGCCCTTTATGGGTAAAAAACTGTGCATTATACATGCAAATACAAGCAAGCACTACATTGTGTTGATTACAACTTAAGCTATCTAAAAATTAAGCAGACTGGATTTGTCTATGTTTTGAATTATACCCTAGATGTGCACGAAAGTCTTGTTTTAACTAAACAAGGAGATATGTTATGATAGAATATTACAAAGTACATGGGGTCAAATAATTTACAATTGGAGGTCAAAAAATTAGGAGGTAATATATTTACAATATTTACAAATAATACACATAAATACATAACAATTCTGTATTGTATTAACAAATTTAATGTAATTTTTTAAATTTTATGGAATTTTGTTGATTTCTACCTGATAATTCTTTTGAATTCTTTCTCATTTTTTATTTATTTGCTTCTAATATGTTTACATTAAAACTGGATTTACTACCCAAAGCCATCTAATATTTTTTAACATTTCCGCATTTGAAATCTGTACCAGCCAGCAAGGAATGATTACAGATCAAAATGTCATTTAGCGACTTTACTATATAAGCAATATATACCACAGGTATTCTTTATTCCTCTGTCAACAGAGCTATAAGAAGCAAATTCAAGATTGCTCTACTTGCAGGAAATCTGCCAAAAAATTCCTGTTATTGAATGGCTCTGACAAAGTGATGGAAATAAAAGTTTGATAGATGAGTTTTTCTATATAAGTTAAAAAGATATCACAACAATCAACATTATGTAAGAGATATATCACAGATTGTTATATTGTTGGTCATATTCTCTCCAGTGTTAACACCACCCCTCTATATACTGTTAGTTATTATATATCAATCCCTAACCATTGGTACTACAGTTTAATTAAAATAAGTTCAAAAGTTTGTTACCTATTTTTAATTAACTTTTATATTTAATGTACCCACTTCAGTTAGGGTCTGAAGGTTAAAGAAGGTTATGTCAAAAGGTTTATTTCGCGCGTGTTTTAGAGGCCGCCTTTAGACCCTAGATGAAGTGGCTATATTAAAAATAAAAGTTTGGTCTAATTTTAATTAAACTGGAGGCACTATGGCTAAAGTTGACTTAGATCGATTATGATTTTTTAAATTAAAAACTTTTTTAACTTTTCAAAATGTATCAAGATACTCCCAAGACATTTACTGTTATTTGAGAGATTTGGAATCACAGCATTTTTTGTCCTGAAAGAATTTTTCTTTTCTTTTTGATGCTGGATAGCCAATTTTGAATTAGCTAGTTGGAATTAGCAGATAATGCTAGCAATAAGTTTAAGGTCTCTTTATTCTACCAATTAAACTTAATATGGATACATTTAATTATGATAGAAACTAGCCCCACTCTGTTTTGAAAAAACAGTAGGGGCTGCTTAAGGCCAAAGCTAAAAGCCAAAACATAGAAATTGCTTTACAAAGCAAAATGTTAATTTCTTTTTTGATTTAAATAAAAGCCTGAATGAATTATAAATTTCGTTTTGTAAAATAAAGTGAATTGTTTACTATCTTTTGGTTATGTTCACATTGATTTTGGGCAACTTCATCTGATTTTGTTCATCAAGATACAATCATATTCATAGTTCAAAATGATTAACATCCTACTTTTCTGATCAAATTGATGAAAATTTGTCTAATGTGAACACATCCTTCAAGGATTAAATTTAATTTAAGCGGAGATATCATCTTCATCATAATAATCACTTTTACTAACAGGCATTACCCCATCATCGGAACAAGGTAATTTATCATAACTATAAGACCAACAAAATAAATTCTTATTCCTAGCATACATAAAAAATACTATCATTATAACAAAACATAATAGGAAGACACATAATATAACTAATGCAAGTACTATTCCTTGCATAGAATCAGGTATAAGTATATGAGGTTTGGAACCAGCTCGGACACATTTGGTACCAAATAATTCCATGTTCTTGACACAGGCTGTACACTGATCTTTTTCTGTACATTCTTTACAATGTTTAGAACACCGCAGACAATTACCTTCCACTGTAAAAACAAAGACAAAATTATTTCAATTCAAAACAGCATGGTGTAACCATTATTCTTTCAAAGGAAAATTGCTCTATTTCAAAATTGTTTTTTAAGTTTTTAAGACACACAAAATAAATAACACGATGGTGTTTCTTTAGAATAAATATTATTAACTGTGTGCACTGTGGAGCTCTAGAGAAATGCCAAATTGTAGGGAATCAACGTTCTATTATAGGTAATAGAAATTGTTAAAGTGTGGAGATGATCAAGTGTCCATCAAACAGGCCAGCAAGTCTATGATTGAAATTGTCTAGTTAATAATAATAATTTGGTGTAATTTTTTTTTAAAAAGGGTAGAATTCATGTCAAATCTTAAAAAAAAGTAGGATTGATGCAAATAGAAGATATAAATTGCATAACACACATAAAAAAAGTTTAGAAAACCTCTTTACAATCCATTTAAGAAATCTTATCTACCAGCCTGCTGTGTTAATTGTAACAATGAGGATGGCTTATCAATATACAGGATTCTGATACGTTAAGGTTTAGAGTTAAGGCACAGGAGTAAAAAAAATCTTGGTACAGATAAATTTTTTGAAATTTTATTCCATACTTTCATGGTACAAAAGAGGTAAACAAAATAAAAATAATAAATATTTACCATTGTAATAGCCAGGTAAACATTCTTCTACACAAATATGATGTTTTTCAGTAAAATATCTATTAGTAGGACAGGTAATACATTCAGATGATGTAGGACCACTACAAGTTTTACATGTATCATGACAATTCAAACATAGATCAGAATTTTGATAGTAACCATCATCACACGATTTCACACATTCCCTGAAAATAACAAACATTACAAGATTATTAAAACCAAGCAAAATTGACAGAGGGAATAATAAAAAAAAAGCATGAACTGAAAAACAAAATATCCAAAAACAAACTTTTCTGATTCCTGTGAATTGAGGCTAGTTTGCTCTGATAAAAGATTAATTCTTAGAATCTCTTTATTTATATGGTAGCTTTATTTTTTTTATCTCACATTTTCTGACCAAAATTGCTTAAATGAAAAATTCATACCATTGACTTATATTGTATTCATTACCATTCATATTACCTAAAAACATAGTGGATAACCTCTGTTTACCTTTTGAATTATACTTAAAAGTTTGTTGATATCTATCCACCATAATTCAGTGGCAATCCTAACCTGTTACAAATATTCTTACCTACTGTTATTTATTATTACATTTTCAAAAAATTTATATATATCTTGGCTATATTGACAGTAAGTTATTACAATATTAGTGTTATCAATCTTCCCATGCTACGTGCACAATTTTAAATTGTTCATTGACAAATTTGTTATTTGGTAGAAACTCATTTTGAAGTCTTTTGAAAGTTTTCCACCAATAAAATAAATTGTTTTTGGTAAAGGGAGAGGTTTTGCATACAGGTATTTGAAGCAGCTACCCCAGTTGATCAGTTTATGAAAGAAAAAGTCTAACCAAAATGCTGAATGTTTATTATGAGAGTACAAAGAATATTATTATATAATTACAGAGATTTGTCTATACCTATAACTCAAGCAATAAAAATATACTATATTTCTGAATGAGAATTAATTAGTCATCAATAGTTTACCATAATCCAATTTCTTCCCATAGGCCACCACTTTTTTTTCAGCTGAGATTTTACTCAAATTTAAATTCACAGGTATCAAAGAAAACAATAAACAAATCTATTCCTTAGGGCACAATGATTCTTTTCTTGATGCAAGGGGCATTGGATTAAAATCTTAGCTGAATATGAGAAATACTTTGTGGCCCTGGGTTCTGTAACTCATTAAATTAGGGTTCACAATACTTCATCATGATAATAAATCCACAAATGATCAGAAAATGTGGATTTCAGCCAAGGTGCTTTCATCCTCTCTGACATATATAAATAATCAAAATTACGTAAGCACAGAGCACAGGCCAAGGAGAGAAATTCAGCAAGTGGTTGCAGGGATTGCAGATTTAATCATTCTTTAAGGCCATGCAAAAAAAATGACATACATGAAATACAATGACATCATTTTTTACAAGAACGGTAATATTTGTTGACTCTGTTGCAAAATCCAACTGTTGATGGATCTTAACAAGCAGTCTATAGCACACAGTGGTTCAGATTTTTGTTCCATCAACAAGACGCTTTTCTTTTTCATATACCCTCTACTCCTCTCCAACTTTATAACAGGCAAAAGACACCAGGTTGAAGAAACCATGCAAGGAACAGAATTTATATGAGACAAGCATCAAAGCAATAGTAAAGTAAAGCTATTAGTAAAAACTATGATTTCATTATTGGGGATTTATCGTGTTTCCATTTGTTAGTTTTTGCATCATTTCAATAATTTTTCTGTCTCTTTCTTTGCTTTCTTTATGTATGATTTTCTCAAGTTCATATCTCTTTCTATCAATTTCTATTTTCTCTTTCAGATAGTTCATAAAAACATCCATACTTCTGTTTTCACTTGACGTATTCGATTCAGTTTCTAAAATTGAAAAATTTATACACCATGCAATGTACAATGAGGTTAACTTTCACAAGAACATATTTGTTGACTTGTTGTTGCATAATTAAACTGTTGATGGATCTAAATATGCAGTCTATAGCACACAGGGGCTCAGATTTTTGTTCCATTCAATCAACAATTGATCAAAATAATCATAATAAAGCTAAATGAAGTTTTTCAGCTATTTTTTCCTATTTAAGTCATCATACAGTTTGCAATGAGGCAAATATTGGCAAAACAACAGTTAATTAGGTAGAAAAAAAAACTACATGTACTTTGACTCATCAAGTATTGGACCCTAGATGTCATGTGTAGCTAGGAAGTGATTTCCAAATGTCTTCAAAATTTCTAAGGGTTTGAGCCCCGTTTCACTAAACTTCTTAAATCTAAAATTTTCTTAAGTTCGTCTTACGTAAAAAAAAAATCAAAAAATTTAGTTTCACTAAAATTCTTACGCTAAGAAATTTTGGCGTAACTTACGACAGCTATACAATATCGTAACTATTTTCTTAATTCAATGCTTGAGAGAAGATGAAACTAGCAAATTTCTGTTTTCAGAACTTATTAATATCAAAGCCTTCGATGTTTTTCGCATTTTCCCTGCATAATTTGCCTTATTTTTGCTATTATGACCATTCAATTTTTTGACTGTCAATCGTTAGTTAAGATGATGTCTTTAATGTCAAGGTGACGTCATTTCACGCTTCAAAATATGACCACCATTTTGCGGAAAAATGAGCAAATTTTCAACACTATTGACTTTTAAAAAGTATTTAGAGGACTTCAGAGTTTTATGAAATATATTTATTTTCTGTAAATTGATGAAATTAAGATACAAATTCAACAAAACAATGCTGTGGACAATGTACGTAAATCCTTCGTAGCTAAGATCTTTGTAAGTTTGATAGTGAAACATGCGTAAGAATTTGCGTAAGATGATCGTAAGTGTAATATTTTGTCGTAAACTTACGCACTTTAGTGAAACGGGGTCCTAGTGATGTTATGAATTTCCCAAATGTCTTGAGAATTTCCAATTGTCTGATGTATCTTTAAATATCTGGTGATGCTATTTCCAAATGTCTGGTGAATTTCCAAATGTCTAGTTATTTCCAAAAGTCTCGTTATTTCCAAATGTCTTGTTCAATTTTCCAATGTCCAATTTTCTGGTGAATTTCCAAATGTCTAGTGATTTCTAAATTCTTGTTCAATTTTCTAATGTCCAATTTTCTGGTGAATTTCCAAATGTCTAGATATTTCCAAATGTCTTGTTTAATTTTCTAATGTCTAATATTCTGGTGAATTTCCTAATGTCTAGTCATTTCCAAATGTCTTGTTTAATTTTCTAATGTCCAATTTCTGGTGAATTTCCAAATGTCTAGTGATTTCCAAATGTCTTGTTTAATTTTCTAATGTTCAATTTCTGGTGAATTTCCAAATGTCTTCTGAATTTCCAAATTGTAAATTTCCAATTTATGTCTTCCAAACATCAAGTGATGCCAGTCTATTCACCTTTCAACTGATTTCCTTTTTCAACAGTGGTTTTGTTGTTTTCATTACTGTTTCCTTCCACAATGGTGATCAGTTTTTCCAATAAATTTGATATTTTATTGTCCTGACGTTCACTTGTTGATCTACAAAAACAACAATTTAATTGCAAAAGTGGAAATGGACAGATAAAAGAAAATTACAAACTACAAACAAAAGTTATTTTATAACCAAGTAAAAAGTAAGATTGACTTACCTATTTAAGATTTTTCTGCAGTTGACCACACACACATTTTATTACTTTCGTTTACATAATAGTAATTCTCATACATAATGATTATTTTCGATTTCCCTCTTGTAAATTTCAATATAGTCCATATAAACCTCTTGTTCATATCAACCCACCGTTTTTCTCTCTTTATTTGCTTTGTTCAGGTCAATTATCAGCATTGTCTTTGGTTTTTCTTTCCCAACATGTAACATATTTTACCCAGAGTCATTTATCATTTCCCCTTGTTATTTGTCCAATAATATCATATAGTTATTTATCATACACTTTGTTTATCTTTTTCATAATATCAAATACTACTTCAGTTATTTATCATACCCTTTGTTTATATTCCTCATAATATCAAATAATACTTTGACAGTTATTTATCATACCCTTTGTTTATATGCCTCATAATATCAAATAATACTTCAGTTATTTATCATTTATCATACCCTTTGTTTGTCTTTTTCATAATTCATAAGATGATAGTTTTAGGTTATTTACCACTAACCTTCATTTATCCTTCCCATATTTTTTTTTATTAAAATTTCATGAAGTCATACTTTGTTTATGCCTGTACAGTAAAAGCCCTTTAAACTGGTAGCTAATTGAAAATGCCATTTAGAGAGGCTTGTTTATTTTCTAGTATCATATCTCTCTATTTATATCAGTACTTCTTATTCTTCAAAACCTTATAATGTAAAATCTCTCTCCTGTATAAATTATGTTGAAATGTTTACACCTGTAGCATCAAAATAAAATCTGTACAATCTTACCCAGTAGAACCTATTCTAACACTTTTACAATCAATACACTCTGTTGGTTTAGGACCTGTACAATTTCCTTTACATTCTGAATGACAGATGACCTGTAACAACAATATAAATAGACATTCTTTCTGCAAGCTGAACATTAACAACATTTCAATCTTCACAAAAGGCGTTTAAAAAGAAGGGACTTCGATTTAGCCAGCTGTACCTTACTAAGGTCAGTTAAAAACTAAAGTAGCTTATTGTTAAATATGGTACTGTGTTTTGTATATAAAATTACACTGAGAAAGAATTTCTGTGATCAATAACAAGTTTTTCACAAGAACAAAATCATTCAATTGAGATGAAGAGAGACTTATTTAAAGACGCAAGCTGCAAGATAAAGACGTGTTGATACTGGTATATAATAGCAAGGCCACTCATCAGGAATTTTAACAACTAAACTTTAATACATCATATATCAACATTTTTACTTTCATAATGAAATGATACCATTAGTTAGTACCATCACGGTACATCAAGAAAGATCTTAAGAAACAGAAGATCTGTTATATGAATACTAGTAACTAATGTAAACTTACCGGTGTTGGTGATGTCGGTGGTCCAGTGTAAGATGTTTGCTTGGTAGTTGAAGCAACAGTAGTAACAGGTGCAACTACTGGAGTTCCATTTTTCAGATTCACTGGTTCTTTTTCAGTACCATGTAATATAATGGACCAGGATTTCAACACACCTTTTAATAAATAAAAAAATTTTATAATTCAAAAGAAGTACAGGAAAAATTTGAGACACAACCAAGCCTCATTATGTTTATTGCTCCAACATATACTTTTAGCCATTACAATCATTTTGCTAAATTACTATTATTACCAATATAAATATTTCTATATCACTCTATAATACCTAACAATACTTTTTATATAATCTCTAAGTGACATTTAGAAGTAGATAGAACATTTAATAAGAAATGCTATTATGGATATACTTATTTAATACTTTATATGCTAAAAAAAAAAGCAAAAAACAAAAAATGTTTTTATCCTCATTTGTCCCTAGATAATATTTGGATACTTGTAACAATTTTGAGAATTTTAGGATCCAGGGGACACAAGAACATTGTTCAATCAATTGAAAGCAGACCTTGTAATGCAAGGTTATCCCAAGTTTCTAAAACTTGCTACCTTAATGAGAATTTTGATATCTGAAATATAATTATATTGATTCCATGACACCATTCCTGTCAGTCTTCAATCAACAAGATCCCTAAATTATTTGTTTGACAGAAAAAATCACAATGGATAACTAAAGGTTATGTTTTAAGTATTAAAGTTATAGAAAATCATTTCAAGGCTTGAGTATATATAAATATTAAATCAACTAGCAAAATAAGATAGATTTTAAAATAAAGAAAGGCTGCATGAATAGGTTTTCTTGACAAAATGCTAGCTTTTTATAGTTCTAAGAAATAGGATAATAAATAATGTTAAATATTATAATAAAATTGAAAATAATAAAGAGTTGGTAAAATGTAGATGCAAAATAAAACAAAATAGTGAAAAGAAAACTAAAAAATGTGCAGTAATAGTAAAATAAAAACAAATATACACAGTAAATAAATGCAATTGCAAAAAAATACACTATGTTAAATGGATTGAAGAGGTTTTCTAAAAGTTTTATGTATATTAGGAACACAGATAGCCTCAATTTGCATAATTCCAATTTTCAATCAGATATCTGTGGCTCCTGCAATTTCACTCAAACTCTGTGTTTGATGATGTCACAAGGGCCTTTTGTGTTGAGGCATATTTTGCAATTAGTGACGTCATCAAACACTTAGTTATAGTGGAATTGCAGAAACCACAAACGTCTGAATTATGCAAATTGATACTATCAGTGTTCCCGATTTAAATAAAAAATTAAAAAAACCATTTAACAATTACTTTAAGAGATAAATAAAGAAAATGAAAAATAAAAGCAAGCTATAACATACCAAGATAATTAGAAAGATTACTGCTAGAAGATTGAATACGTGAAGAGTACAAGTGGTTAAAACGAGAGTAAATACCTCCAGTTGAGCCATGGGGATTGTAAGTTTTAGCATCTTCAATTTCTAGAGTCCAAATTCCGGTTGGGTTTTCGCCCCAAAAGTGGACTGATAAAAATGGCCAGCTTTTAAACTCTCCTTCCTGTCTGTCATTTGGTCTCCTTGGTAACATCAATGACTTGGTTCCCATTGGTGATTTAATATGAATGATGACATCACCTCGTTTTTTATGATGTAAAGATATTTTGACTTGTACATGTTCTAAATGGTTGACATTGTTAGGTAAACCATCACAAGCTTTAGTATCTATATATCCTACAAATTTACTACCATCTAGTTGACTAAAATATACAACAATAAACATATTGACATATTCAGATCCAATAAATTTTGTATTTTCACATGTATATTAAACACATACATCACATTCCAGCTCAAGCTCATGGGACAGGTGTGCCATTTTGGTGGGTTGATTTTAGTCTTGAATATATGCTAATATAAAAGTAATAAATAAGTGATCAACATCTGACAAAAGCATAGAGCAGAGGTCACTATCTTTTTGTGGGGGCTTCTTTACACAAATTTTTTTGTCTGATTTTTAAATATCAAAATTGTTTCCATTTTTATATACATCGAATGCTAACAACAACAAAACAAAAGAAGTACTAGAAATGTACGAAAATCTCACAATTCCTGAGAAAAATTACTTAATTGATGAGTCGTCATTCTAACATTCAAACGCAGTTAATTCTGGACACACGTGGATTTGAAGGCTCAAATATCAACAAATATCATTTTGTTGAAATGTTGGGTATTAAAGGATGGTATTTGATGTCAAGTTTTATTATTTATTACGCCAAGTTCAGTATACATCAAATGAATCGCTGTACTACTAGTGGTATTGGTGATCCCATCAAAAAGTCTTTTGGGATTGGTTATTGCTGCCTGTTTTTTCTTTTTGGAATCATCTCCATCTCTCCATCTCACACCAATTCTTTATATAATGTCTGATGAAACAGATCAATGGCAACAGTCAACAAATGAACAAAATTTGATTAACTTACATGTTGTTAGCACTGGCAAATACTTCACAAATATGTTGTTCAGGTACATTAGTCCACACTTCAGCTAAATCTACCATAGCAGACGCATCCATTAAACCATATCCATATCTTGTACTAACTACAAAATATAATACAATTTATTAGTATAGACCGAGGTGAAAAGTAATGAAATTAAATTATACAGTAATACTTATTATAAATTAAATAAATCTAAAATCTGTTTCTGTAACCAAATTGGTTATTACAATAGCTGTAGTTATCTCCCTTGAATCAGTGTTTTGATTTTGGAACATTAGTGATATTTGATTGGTGAGTAATGCAAGATGTAATCTCGATGGTCTTTCAGTTGTTACCATATAAATTTTTTGTTTTAATTTCTTTATTTTGAATTATTGACTTGAATTCAGGGAATAATCGAATCTGAGAGACTGGTTCATAGTGTCTATCTATGACAATTAATAAACTATAATTAAATTCCACTCAGCAGAGATGCTGTACTAGTAGCATTGATTATTGCTTCCAACTCTGGTGAGTGCTATGTCCCTATGCTTGCAATTCTTCACAAACCATGTTTGAAGTGTTAGGGATTAAAATTGTGGGAAAAAAATATAAAACGAAATAAAAATCTGATCTAAATGATCTAAATACAAACCAGATGTAACGTTTATTAAATTTAATCCTCATTTCAAAACTAAGATCAAGATAAATATATAAATAGTTTTAACTAATTAAGTCAAATCACAAATTCCACATTAGATCCTTTTTTCCAGAGCATGATAAAATATATATAATTATATTACCTTTTCTACCCATACCATTAACAATCCAATTACCATCAACCATAGGTTTAGGATTAGCTGTCATTAATGTTATATACTGTACATCTCGCCATGTTAGAGAGGGGCTAAAAAATATAAGACAACCATGATAATATGCATGAATTAATTATTATATAAACACATATATTACAGGATTATTACAGACTTTGTTAGCTATTTAGATGAGACTGCCACCTTACTCTCCTGGTGTCTTATTTATTTTAGGAAAGGCTATAACACAATTTGCAGACCATTGTAATGACTTCATTTGCTCATTTAATTCGAAACTAATGATGATCATGGGTTCTAATCTAGGTTGTGAAAGTTTGGTGATCTTGCATTAGTCATTTTTCTTCAATATTCAGGTCGATCTAGCTCAAAATGTGTTGGACAATTCTGAAGATCAATGCCAAGAGGTTTGGTTAAAAGATCCCTCGAAAGTTGGAAATCGAAAAAGAGGAGGCAAAATTTCCCTCATTGCACCCTTTATGGCATTGCCCGTCTTCATTAGCCCACATGGTGCATAAAAATAGGACGTAAAACTCCATTCATTTCATTTCTGAACTCAAGTTGCTATCTTAGTAAAAAATGGCTTCTTTCATTGCCAGAAATGAGTCACACATGAGTCTTTAATCCATCATGGAGAAAAATCTTCTTAATAAACCAATTTTCTAGAGGAAGTTGAAACTTACTTGGCCTCTAATACTAAAGCTACAACACCAGCAGCTAATGGTGCTGAAGCTGATGTACCAGTATGTGTTTCTGTACATCGACCATGTAAATCAACAGTAACCTACAATAGACAATACAAACATTGTAAATTTCTTCCATCTTGACAATGAAATTTTTTCATGAACTCAGCTGTGCTCAATTATTTTAGATGTTGAATACTCTTTCAGTGACATCTCAAGGGGGAGGGTGTCAGTGCAACAGGGCCCAAGAAACAAACATACATTGAAAGGATATTACTGTTTACAATTGAATGAAATACAGTATTCAAAGATGGGTTTCCTTTTTTTTTTGTGTCAAATTAAGCAAATTTTTTGATTAATTGTTGTTTCTAATGAATTATCATGTATTTTTTATCAAATCATTATGGTTTTTATTGCATATAATTCAGCATTTTAATCAATCATAAATATGCAGTCTTGATAAACAAAAAAAAATTTTTTTTGACCTTTCTTGATAGGTCACTCATTGGAAATTCTGCTTGTAATTCTATACTAATTATAAATTAATTATGGTCATCTGAGACAAACTAGTATTTTTCTAAGTCATTAGTAGAACACCTCTACTTTCTATTCATATAAGTATTAGCATTTTTTAGAAATGAAAGTAAGGGAACCCATCTTTAATCTCTTTATCTTCAAAATTAGTTGAATGTACTTTTTGTATGTAGGTATTTCCCTTAATCCCCAAGAATGATATTGTTTTTTTTTTTTTATTGTGGTCACATATTGAAGATGATTGTTTAATGAAAGCGGTTGCATGAGGAAATGATAGAAGATAGATGCTATCAGATTTTACATCCTGATATAAAGGAAATGATGATTAATATTTACATAATAACGGTAGCTATTGAAAAGTTTTCAAGTAGATATCATAAATAGATAGTCTAGGATTTCCTAGTATCCTGACCAATGTCATTATGTTTGTAGTTATTGAATTTCCTTTGCTCGAGAACTCTATTCACCCAACTGTATCCCTTTTCAGAATGAAAATATGACATTTGGTTTGTGGTTACAATGAAAAAGACTAGAAAAAACTAAAGGAACTGGAGTTCTTTCAGTTTTACTTAGATATCTATTTCAGAGCAAAAACAATCCTACAAATGATTTGTTACAAGCTCTTTGCTTGATTTTCTCTTCTATAAATTGCCACAAAAACGACTTCTGCTGGACAAAAAGAAATACAACCAAATCAGCATCCCTGACTAAGTACTAAAAGAATTACTTAGATATCCCTTTCAGAGAATGTCTACATACATGGATTTGTGCTTGATTTTCTCTCTAAAATTGTCACAAAATGATGTTGGTTGGACAAAAGGAAATACAAGCACATCAAAAGCCACGACCAAGAAGCAGTTCATTTTAAAATAATTACTTTGATATCCCTTTCAGAACATCCTACGTAAGCTTATATAGATTGCAAATATTATGCTTGATTTTCTCTAAAATTGCCACAAAAACGACTTTGACTGAACAAATGGAAATACAATCACAACAATGAACAGCCTTGACCAAGTACCGGTATTTTGTACTCAGATTACACAGTTTATTGTTGACTGATAATAGTCAAGGGAAGAAGTAGAGACAATAGGTCAATATTTAATATTATGTGTAATAAATAACAACAATCTAGGTAAATATATGTATTTAACTTGACCAATGTGTGTGGTTTTTATAACAGATGTTCATTATTATTCTCTTCTCATGTTAATTCTTCTTTTCTACCTTTCTTAATATTTATTCTTCAAATATGTTAAATATTACTGAAAAACATTGAGTGGTTTAGGTATAAAATTAAAACTCAATAAAATTATATTATCCTTATCAAACTTCTTACTGTTAAATTAAATTTTACCCATTATTTGATTTGACTGGAAATTCTAAGCGTTTTTCTTTTCTTATCAAAACTAATCTAACAAAGAGAAAGGAATTATGAATTAACCTGCAAGTGTAAAAACTAAAATTTGATTTATTCCAACTTCTCCTAAGCAGAAAGCATTTATCTTGGGTTTTCATATGGTGAGGAAGGAGGAAATCAAATCAGACTAATTAAATCAATATATTAAAGGGACAGGTAGACCATTTTTTTCACAAATCATACTTTAGTCATAGAAACAGGAATTTTTTTTAGCTAAGTCAATCAGTAATAGTGTTGACAGCTCACCATCAAAATTTGAGCCTTCAAATTCATGTATGTCCAGAAATATCACTCTGTGACATATAGAAAAAGACATATATTGGAAAAGTGAGTAAAATTCCTAGTTAAAGTATTTTTAAAGGAATTATGCGCTTTTCGTACATTTCTAGTACTTCTTACATATATTTAAGATTAAAGTCAACCCCCAAAATGGCGCATCTGTTCCTTTAAGGTTTCATCATCTTATAACAAATGATGTTAACGTAACCAAATGTTAATTCTAACTCTTCACATACTAGTTTCAACATGAGATTATCATTATTTATAATCATTCTTTAATACAAAATAAATTGACAAATAATGGCATCATAACCAAATTAATTCCACCATTCCTCTTCATGAGAATACTGTTAATCTGTTTAAATAAAAATACCATTTATTTTCATGTCAATACCACCGTGGATAATCATTTTGTGAACCAATATAACTTGACAAATGTATTATGTTACCAATCTAAACTCTAGCCTTCCTCCTCATATACCAGCTTCAAGATGAGCATATTGTTACTGGGTTTTAAAGGGACAGTTACACCATGTTGGAGTGTTGATTTGAGAGTTGAATATTATGTAAATAGTCTTCAGAATTACTAGATATGTACGAAAATTATAAATTCCTTTAAAAATACTCCAAACTAGGAATTTAACTCACTTTCTCTATATATCACAGAGTATCTTAAATTGACGAGTCGTCATTTTAACATTCAAACGCAGATAATTCTGGACACATATAGATTTGAAGGCTCAAATTTCGATGGTGAGCTGTGAACACTATTACTGAGCTAAAGGATTCCAGTTTCTGAGACCAAAGTATGATTGGATAAAATAATGACCTACCTGTCCCTTTAATATATCATAATATAGTTTATGCTAATATAGATGCTGATAATAATTTTTTTAAACCTATATTATATATTGATAAATGATGTTACCATAACCAAAATACCTATTATATTCTAGCTTAGAGAGAATATTGTTATACAGCTTAAATAAAAATAACATTTATCTTTATGCCAATATTAATGCTGAATCATTTATCATTCTTATTATTTCCTAGGATTTTTTTAGTAAATATCTATTATATTCCTTCTAATAACATTATTCCTATTGATAACTTGTCACACAGGTCATTAATTGTTTTCAGATTCAGGTGTAGAGGTTGTAAAATTGTACTTCTGACAAAGTCACACAAACACAGACGCAGGACTTAGCTTGAAAGTTTTATATTACTTTATCTAAATAAACAATATGTATATAAGCTTAAGGAATTTAAAATTTGTTTTGTATTTCAATGCCATTTTTCAACCTGTATTAGTGTCACTATCCTGACAAAATTTACGGCATTGGACACTGAATGGCATTGTGATTTCCAGCAGCCAAATAAAATGCTATGTAGAAAATTTCCATTTCATTTCTAGGTCAAAGTTTTGAACTAACAGCTGATGTAATAGAACAAGGTATCAAGTTTTAAAATAAATAATAATACTAATAGATAATGGCCAGTATAATTTAATACAGCAATCAAAATATAATATTTTCTTTGTATTGAGTGTATAGTCCATACCTATTCTATTATTCATATTATTATGACTGACTCTAATACTGACTGTAAATATTATTCAATACAGCAGGGTTATCACTTAATCAGTTATCAAAATAGTGTCATATCACCCAAAACAACATCAAACATCCAATGCTGAGTTCATTTATTTGTGATAATGTTAATTTGAATTTGAAATTTACAATGTTCATTAGAATGCTAGTGATATAGTAGTCTTAATAGACTAATATTTGCTATTAGACCTTACTTTCAGCTAACTTAGAATATTAAATCCTATTATTTCCAACTTAACAAAGACAGAATTTTCAGCTGAAATTGAGTTTAAAGTTTTAAATTAATTTCTGTTAACTTAATTTGACCATTATTTTCCAGTGTTGAACATTCACTTAAGAATATTTGCAATAGCGCAAGTATCCTTAAAACCAAATTATCTTGACTAAAAATTTCCAATAGATTTGAAAAATATTATGCCAGAGGCTAGTGCATTAAAGATAGGTTTCCTTATTTTTTAGCACAGTGTTTTTTAATTGGTGTTTCTAATGAATTATCATGTATTCTTTATCATATCATTATGTTCTTATTGCATATAATTAAGAGTTTTAACCAATCATTAATATCCATGTATCTATAATCTTGCTGAAAAAAAAGTCTTTTTGACCTTTCTTGATCATTGGAATTCTGCTGTTAATTATCTTCTAATATAGCTAATTATGAATAAACAAACTGATAATTATAACAAAAACACAAGACGATATTATGGAATATTACTCACTTCTTTAATAAGATTGGGCACTTAACGTTTCCATAATATCGTCTTGTGTTTTTGTTATACGTGCTCCTCGCTTCATGTCGTTCAAATCTTATAAACTGATAATTAGTCATTAGAACACCTCTACTTTCTATTCATATAAATAATAGCATTTTCATTTTCATAAATGAAACTAAGGGATCTCATCTTTAAGGAATAAGTAGTTTATAGAAAGCCTAAATAAAATTAGTAAAATAATATTAGAATGGTTGAACAATATGTGTCATGGTCATAAAGCCTGTCAAAGTCAGATGGTCAAATATTTATATAGAAAATATCAACTAAATAATTATATTGATTTCTAGTAACAAGACTAGAATAAACATTTAGATGACATGTCTTTATAAACTTTAACATAACTTTTACTAAAGAGGTACTGGATGGCAAAAGGGGTCAAATTGACTTAAATTGAACTCTGTTTTAATGTTGTGGCAAGTAATTAAGTAATACTTACTATTTGTTTTTCACTATAGGAACCACTACTATAAGTTGAAGCTAGAGTTGAAGAACATTCCTCTAAATACCAAGGTTTAGAACCATGTTCTGATGTACTACTTATTGATAATGTATAAACACTATTAGTGTATCCATCACAATTACATGAATCTTGAGCATTCCCACCATTACCACTAGCCCATACATAGATAGATCCCTTTCCTTGTCGACCCTATAATGAATATGTTATGTCAAAGAGACAAACCACTTAAGCAAGCCAGAAAATCCTCCAAACCATAAAAGACAAGAAAGTCCTTATGACATAGGAAAATGAAGTGGGTAATGAAGTCAAGGTATTAAACAAAGTTCATTAGAGCTTGGCAGTGTCAAGAGGATGTTCAACAACAAATTGTCTTACCTAATATTAAAACATGCCTTACCTTAGCAATTCCATTAATGAAAGCTTTCTTAGCTAGTGGACCTGGTCCATCTACTACTCTACCATCATCATCAGGTCCCCAGCTAGCACTATAGATATCAATATGGGTACTATTAAAACTTAGTGAGGCTGCTTCTACAGCATCATATACTTCTCCATCTAACATACGTACACCTGTAATGTTACAAATATCAAATGAACAACATTATTTATTGGAACTCTTCAAAAGGAAAAGTTGACAATCTCAATTATCAAGTGGCACCAGGTGGATGATGAGATTACAAGAGACCTGTAGTATTTAATATAGTGTTCGTAATGTTAAAAGATGATATCAACCTTTGATCCATTAGGATGATATTTTCTGATTAGGAGGAGCAAAGGATCATTGATTGATGTATGAATCAAGATGGTTTTTACAGCAGATAGTCTATTGTCAGATTTCGGATCTGAAAAGGGACATGTTGGCTAATCTGTCCATAAACCCTTTAATAAACTGTTTCATTTTGTGGGTTTGTTTCCATAGTGAAATTTAAAATAAAAAAAGGCAATATTATTTCAAGAATACAGTAGTCTAGCAAGGTGTTCATCAGTAAAAGATATAATGGTATTTTAAAGTAATAATAACTAGAGTAGGAAATGTAATTATTTGCCTGAACTATTAGTGTAAATATATTGTATTAACTCTGGTGATAAGAATCTCATTAGGGGCATTTTATATCATATATATAGAATCAATATCATTATTATCACTCAATAATAATAGTAAGATAGAAACTATTCATATATACTACTCAATAGCATTGTAATACCTATACAAAACACAATATGTAACTGGTATATTAGTAATGTATTGGAATAGGTCTTTAAAACTCTTTCTTGCATTATATACTTTTACATTATAGTTTTATGGGTGGGGAGGGGGTTTGTACCCTGTAAAAGCCTGGGAACCATGGGTTCACAAACTGAAAATACATTGAATCATTCTCCTACATGGACTATTAAGTAAAGTTATTAAAATAATTACCTCCTATTTTAGAGTTAAAAGCTATACCAACACCACAAACTGTATTATTAGCTACAGCTGATACTTCTCCAGCACATCTTGTACCATGTCTGTTATAAAATAAACACAAAATATATTTACATTCAAAAAACATAGAGCAAAGCAGGGCTTTTCTATTTTATTTCAAGAATAGGATATGATTGTCAAATATTTATTTAACCAGTTGAAAGAGCTCAATTTAAGCTGTTCTTATCACTTTTGTATATGAAAATCTGACTTAATCTAAATTAAATGACAACCTGTGGAAGAATTTTCTGTAGAAAAATGCAACAGATAGCTGAAAAAAGCTAAAATCGACATTTTTTAGACAAGTAAATTCCTAAAACTCAATGGAAACAGTTTATCATAAATACAACCTAATACATCTACATTAAAGGGGCATTCTACTTTTTTTAAACTTTCAGATACGTTAAGGGATACATTTCTATAGATTTTGGTTTATAGTTTTCACAAATTTGAGAAAGAATATTTTTCGACCTACAAGATAAGCCTGATGTCCCTTTAAATTCTTCTGAAGTGTCAAAAGAAATAAGCACAAACAGTCCAGATCTCTTTCAAACATTGTATCTGAGATCCTGTACATCTAGATGCCACAATATCTTGGCTAATTCGTTTGATGTCTAAATATAATTGGTATTTAGTGAAGAAAGAAAAAGTGTACAGTGAAAACATTTCTGTCATTGCTAATTAGATCAGTTGATCCGAGTCACACTGACAATATTTGTTAAACACTTGAAAGAGAAAATCTCATTTACGTTATGCAACTAACTACACACAACTTATATCTTTATAACATATATCATTAAAGAAATACTTCCTCTTAGAATGCACATAAAATTTATCATTTCAAACATGGCCAATAAGAGTGTATATTCATCAGTGGACTGGTTTCATTAGTATACAACAGAATCCCTGCATAATCCAAAAAATCCATAAAGCAACATAATTATAAAAATTGTCTTTTTGTAAACTTAATGAATTATAGATGGATTCTGTTTGTAAGTTCTGAAGATGGATATTTACTCTTTTTGGTTAAGTTTAAAAATCTAAATCTTATGTCCATTCTATGAGGTAGTATTCCTTTAGTAGGGACAGATGCGTCATTTTTTTTTCCAAACATACTTTTGATTCAAAAACAGGAATATTTTAGTTAAGTTAATCAGTAATAGTGTTCACAGCTCACTGTTGAAATTTGAGCCTGTGTCTGATCCATGTCTGCCCAGAAGTATCCACGTTTGAAAGTTCTTTTCTTGGGACACTGCCATATATAAGAAAGGCATTATAGAAATAGGAAAATAAATTCCTAATTTGACATATGTTTGAAGGAATTATGTGATTTTCGTACATTTCTGGTACTTTCGAAGACTATTTACCAATATTCAAGACTCAAATCAACACCGCAAAATTGTGTGACTGTCCCTTTAAGAGAAAACCACCGAGCAAAACAGAGCTTTCAATCATTGGTTGTAAAAAAAACACAGTGAGAGTTGACAAGACATGATGTGTTTTATTATTGTACAAGATTAGTATTAAAATCAATACAATCTTTATATACTTCATTGTTTTTAGCTGGGAGATATAACTCTGTGTCTTAATGTTATCTATGTCTTCAGGCACCTTACAGAGTTAAAGTTAGATAAACATTAGGTTGAAAATAGTAACTAACATGTATCATCCATATGTTCTACCATATATCTCTCACTTTATAAATTACACTGTGTTTGTTTTACCATGGTATAATCAATATCTTTTTTAATGTCAATATTAACTTATAATTGTTTTATTAATAATATTATTATGTGATACCAGTTTAATCAAACTTTAATTTAACCCACTTCAGTTAGGATCTAAAGACAGCCTCATGTTGACACCCCCAGCCAATCCAATTTTTCCTGTTCAGCGTTGGGATTTTATGATGCGAACAAAAGGTGTATTTCGAGAAGCAATCACAAAATCCCAACCTTAAAGAGGGCAGAAATTTGATTGGCTGGCAGTGAGTCAATCAGACAAATGTTCAAGAGGTCCGTCTTTAGACCCAAACTGAAGTGCTTTTAAAATCAAAAATAAAAACTAATAAAAAACGTAACGAAAGTTTGGTTTAATTTTGAATAAAATAAACTGATTTCGACTTTATATTATAAAAGTATTTTGAACTCTAAATTTTTTTTCAAAAATACAAAATTCCACATTGATCAAAATCGACCATTGCCATCTGCATAATGTTTTATAAAGATTTTGAAAGATCAATATATTGTAGGCTATAATACAGAGATTGTAAAGAAGTTTTCTAAATTTATAAAATTATGAATACTATTGTGGAATGCCTTAGATTGCTATACATATTATAATTACCTGTTTTCATCTGTAGGGTCATATCTTGGCATCGGGTCATTATCATGATCATTAACATCATAACTTGCATACGGATCCTTAAATTACAATATATAACAAATATAATATATCATGCCAAAAAAGTGTATCTTCAGATCTTAGTTTTACATTTTACTTTCCTCATGCTAATGAGATCTGGCAAAGCCATGCAGTCTGAAATGAGGTAAATTTTGATATACCTTATAATGAATATACTATATACATAGATATTAATATAGATATTAATATAGATGTTTAGAAAAACAAATTTTTTTGGGGGATTAATGAAACTTTTTAATCTTTCTTCCTTGTTAACACCATTGAGAGGCACACCCTATACCAGCGCTAGCTATAAGCCTATTCATTTAGATTTAATATAGAGGTGTATTTGTGGTTGAACTACTAGTTAGTAGTATATTATATTATATAATCACATGTAGCTCTGTGAGGTTTAAAATAAAATGTTTTATATATAACTTTTAAAAGTTACAAAGGCATGTTTCATTGTATGTAATATAAGCTGATATAAAAAATGACATGAAAGCCATTAAAAATAAAATAGAACATGCATAATTCAAATTGCTAATCAATCATTGATAGTGTTTGACAAAACAAAAACTTTGATAGCTGTTAGATCTTTCCTCTATCAAAACTGTCATGTTTAGTGCAAGAGTAAACAATAGATGTATAGCTATAATATACAGCTCAAGGCCATGGACTATATCTATATACTTAGTTTATAAATTATATAATGATATCACATAAGACCAATAGGAAAAATTTCTTTTCAAATTTTGATACATTACTGAGTTGCAAAATTATTTATAAAAATAATTATTGTGGCAGGAATATGCAACCTTAAAGCTTAGTAGATTAGACAGTTGCCTTGTTACTAGGTGCGATGGGTTCAAATCTTCCTCAAGGTAAGAAATATTCTGAAGCCATGGCCAGCACTTCAGAAAGTCAACCTCTTGTCTTCTTTAATCCTAATACCTCTGAACACTGAGTGTAAATGTTTCTCAAAAAATGGTACAACTAAACTTGCACGCTAAGTGCAGAAAATTGTTATTTTTGAGGTTATCAAATCGATAATTTATAAGTTTATACTCGTAAATCAATTAAAGTATATGTACTTGTGTTATTGGTATAAGTGAGTGAAAGCTGACACAGGATCCAACACTTAGCGCAATGACGTGACATCAGAAATTTTCCTACTGAGTTTTCGAACCTAATCACCTATACAACAATCCAACTCACTACCGACTGGCGACTGATGAATTGATAATATTTTATCTGATATTACATTGTGATGATTTAAGATTAAGTTATTAAGCTTCAAGCATAAACAATACAGTCAATCGAATTATAAACTCTATATATCAACATTGATTACGACAACTTGCTAGTATTTTAATGACATATTTATGATTTAGAAGACTACATAGAAAACCTCCACTTTTGTTAAATTTATTTAGGCTTATGGAGAACTCCTTCATAAATACAATAAATATGTTTCTGTCATTTTGGCTGATTTATTTAGTCAAGCATGAATTGATCTGGTTGTATCTCATGATTTTGACTATTGTGGTAGTGATATGCAGACCATACTTACTCTTTTCGAAACACCTGATGGTACTTCTCTTTGGAGGAGTCCACTAGTATACAATCTTTAATCCCTATTTTACAATTTAAAGGAGATATTTGATAGACGGAAATGTCTTGCATGTACGGATTTTGATCAATAATGTACATCATTATATATATTGTTGACAATAAAAATAATTAACAGTTATACCTCTGTAACTGACACTAAACCTGACATTTGTTGTAAATCATTAATTCTAGCTGACAAATACATTAGAGTGATGATTCTCTGTTCTATTAGACTAGTATATTACTAACATCACCTGTCAATGTCTTATTGTGTTCTTTACGTCACAATGTTAATTAACCAGTAGTTAAACGTCAAAAGAATGTCAAAAACCATCTTAGGATAGGCTGTCAAATTATTCAATTGGAAAAAAAGGAAAGTCAAATTGCTGATTGAACTTTAAAATTGTGAATTATTGAAAAGGTTTAAAAATTATTTTGACAGATCCAGGACCTTATTTTCTATTATTCAAATTCATTCCTTGATATTTTTCAGTCTACTAGTCTTTAACTGTGTTTCCACTGAGGGAAAAAGCCAGCTTTAAGATATCTTTCATGTGTTTCTACTGGGCAAATTGCGATTTGGTTCATTCTGATTTCTAGAAAATTGAGGTAGGAGGATCCATAAAAAAAAAAAAAAAAAAAAAAAATTGGTCTGCCCTTAGTTTTGAAATATTGTTTAAAACAAATATAGAAAGAGGCATAGGTAAAGAAGCACTTGAAAGATAAGTATATAGATGTAGTATTATATAATCCATTTATATTCATATATCTTGTGCTTCTCTATTATACTGTTTAAAACACTTACTGGTAAGTAAAGAAGCACAATATATATGGATATTGTGCTTCTTTATTAAATATGGTATGATTGATGGTTCATGATATTGAACTGAATATATTGCTCATTAAAGTTTCCCAAGAAGTCTCAAACAAATTCATTAATAACTTTCTTTATGAACCTAACAGAGTTATAGAAATTTCTTTATTTTAACATGTCACTTTAAATTAACTTGTTCACTTGTTAATGGAATGAGATTGCATGTCATTATTAAAACAGAACAGAGTTCAAATAGTAGATTACAAGTTAAATGGTAATTGAACCTAATGCTAGTAGGTATAATATGTTACAAAAGAGAAATTCTTATTATAGTAAGAGACCGAACTTGAAACTTATGGCGTGTGGATATAAGTATATATTCATACAAACACAGTAATTAATATCATTAATAAGGCTTAAGCGATACACCAAATAGTCAGTCATAATGTTTGACTCCTGATGTTGGATGTAACTAGGGAAAATATTGTCTTAAAAAGGACTTAATGTTATTTTCACTTCATATGTTTCTGTTTAAATTCTTATTGAAAATGTTACCAGTAAATATTATCTTAAAATCTTCTAGTTCACATGCAGATAATCATAGTCTTAATCATATCTTCATGTATCCTTTCAGCCCAATTTATTAACATGTATTATTTCACTTTTGTTAGATCTTGTACTCAACATGAAATTCTGCAAAACCATAAATTTGAGAAGATGTTTAAGCCATGAGTTATAATTTTTCATTGGAACTGTCTTAAAATGTAAGTGCTGTCAGTGGTCTATGTAATTTAGTAAATTGACCCAAGACTGTGTTTTGATTTGCTCCTGCTGAGACCCAAGCGTTAATAACACTATAATGTGTTAATTGTGTTATAAATATCATATTTAATATCATTGAATATATAAAGGGCAAGCTTACAATTATAAATAATCATTTATCAAAGAGTACAATATACACCAGCTGTATAAATATCTACTCAACATATAAATCAACCTATTACATTTCTTTATGATTTATGTCTTAGAAATATTAAAACAGAAACTGAAACATATTACTCAGAGTTTCAAGCTGAGCCTAACAAAATTTTTATTAAGCACATGTTTTTAATAGTTTTTATATCGCTCTAAGCACTATTTTAACAGTAAAATATTTTGTTATAGTAATCTTATAAAAGATTATATTGGTAAATTCTATTTTCCTGTTTGTGTTTTGTTTTTGTAAATATCAGTTATAACTAGAAATGAGAATGACTTCACATTCATCAAAATAAAATAAAAAATTAATTTGAAGGGTAAATTTCATTATACTTCCTCAAAGAAAACCCCAAATTTTTTAAATGTCCCAAATTTTGTCTCAAAATTGCAAATAAAACAAATTTCTACAAAAGATAGTACATTGTTATTTATTACAAAGTGATGTAATTTTAAGATCACAGCTGCCATTGAAGCTAATGTTCCAATTCACATCAAAATACTAGCCAGTAAAATACAATTTGTTACTCAATTACTATACAGTACAGTAATAGAATAAATTAACTTACATAGTTCTGTTGTAAATCAGGATGATTGCGTTCAATACCATCATCTAAAATAGTAATAACTACATTGCGTCCAGAGTATCCTTTCTGCCATGCTGGTATTACATTCATATCAAATCCTCCTCTACCACCACCATGCTGTAATACATAAATTAACATTCAAATCTATTACATTCCTTGATTAAAAATAAGGGTTAATTTTATTTAATTTTAGGGATAAAATTTAGAATTTTAAGGCTAATTTTGGGCTTAAATTAGAAATTTTATAAAGAAATTATGGCAGTTTTAGACATTGATATCTTTCACACATTTGACACGAAAGATACTTGTTAAAATATTTTAGCGCCATGCACTCACGAGAAAATAAAAAAATTAGGTTTGATTTGCTTGCATCTGAGGCCATTTGGGACAGCAATGTTGACAATGTACGAAAACTGTCTCTCAAGAAGTAAAAATATGGAATTGAAATAATAAATAAGGGTCTTTTTAGGATTTTCATGCAATTCAATATTCTTTTAAAGAATTTCAGCAAAATGAAAAAAAAAAGGTTTTTCTAGGAATTTCAAGGCCACTAGACACTCTGCTTAAAGTCCACACAGCAGAAAATTTCATCTGGTGTAATTTTTGATGAAAATATCTAGTTAGGGACATATTTTGGGAAGTTGACCAGTTTAAAATGGGAACCAGACAAATTGCATGATATATATAATACATAAAACTGATTTCCTTCAATATCTAATCAATGCTTCTAACACATTGCTTCAACAACTTGTACAAACCACATGAATAAATAATGAAAATAGACTCAAATTATTCCCTATATTAGCATTCTGACACTGAGAAAATAGTCATTAAAAATTCTTTAAATTGAAACTTAAGTGATGAATTCAAGCATGAAAGTTTCATCAAAATCAATTTCATGGATAGTTCATTGCAAATGCTCTGATTATATGGGTCTATAAACAGCTTGACTTATAACCTTTTACTGTGAAAATTCATTCTAATGTTTGCCTAAGGGTTCAATTGAAACTGTCTACCTTCTTAATGTGTTAGTATTTAATTTGTTGTTATAAGAAGAAATTCATGTTCAACAAGTGTCTCAATGTAAAAAAGTAACCTATTTCATGTAAAGCAACATTTTAAATGCATTTAAGCCTCTATAAAAGAGTTGAATTAAAACATTACCACATCAAAGTTTGCTAGTCAAAATGACCCTTTTAATTTACGCTTCAACATTTCCAAAGATTACAAAAATTGATCAAATTGTATATCAGTACTCTTCGTGAAAATTTTCTGCAAAATTCAGAATTATACACCAACTCTTGGTCGTCTCTATTTTATGTCATAGCTATAGGCAATATTTATTGATTAGAAGTTTACAATTGGAACATATTGAATCGCTAGCAAATTTTGATCAAATGTGAATCAAACTTTATCTTGATTATTTGCTACTGATATTTTGTGTAATAAATCAAATTTTTCGATCTAAATTGAACCCTGATGATATTAAACTGTATTTCAGTAAAATCATTCATTTTTATGGGCACCAAATTTTACAGAAACATGTCATTGGGGTACGAATCAAAGATTGTATGATAAATATTGATACTTCTGAAGACTGTGTTAAATATCAGGAGAAAAATATTGAACCTGATAAAATTTGGTTGTCAACATTTTTTGCAAATGATATAAAATTTCCAATGATTATTGAAACAAAATCAACCATTTTCAAAATTTGATGAGTGGCTGTACACATTCACAATTAGTTATGTTTTTATATAGAAATCACATGAACATATGCCTTCAAAATATTTCTTTAATCAATGCCAGTAGGGCTGGGTAAAATGATCTAAATAATCCATACAAATGTATAATTTTACTTTTAGAATTTCATTAATGATTATATGTCAAGTTTTCTCCACTGTACCCTTTATGGTAATCTCTACCACATAGTTTCCCTTCAACACATGTATTACCTACAATAAGCTATAACAACCAATTAAAACAAGAATATACTATGATAAAATGAAGATTTTTAGCATGTTTTTTATTTAGTATTTACAGGGTTTCTCAATTATTTTTATTATTAATCGATTATTGATCAGTAGTCTGTAATCAATACCCATCCTGAAATACTAGGTACTATATGTTCTACAGGAGATTACATAATAATAGACTATATAGTAGTGTGTCCTGTTTAAAACCAAGACTAAAATATCAGGTCTGTTTTATATCCTGTTATCCTAACATAAATAGGATCTAAAGTTTTCTTATTCCTTTCTTATCTCCTTATACAATTTTATAAATATAGCTCAATGGAAACAAACTTTCATTATATATATATAGTTCATTTTCACAATGTTTGGTTATTACAAACTATGTCTAATACCTTGACATCATAAGGCACTTTTCTTGTATCACAGAAGTTTGTAAATTCAGTTATTTGATTGGATTGTATCCTAGTGATACAGCCAATCAGAGACTTTGACATATAGATTGTAAAGAATTTGGTTGCATGTGTCATTGGCTGTAAACAATCACAACACTGTATAACATATTTCTGTCATACAAGAAAGGTGTCTCATGATGTCAAGGTCTTGAACACAGTTCGTAATAACTTGACATGAGGAAGATGCATGTAGTTGAGACTTTATACAATTTGATACCTGAATACAGTTTCCTAAAAAAGCTCAATACCAAAATATAACCTAAAGGTATTATTCAACCCAAATTTTCACATTTGAACAAATTATTTTGTAAGATTTTCTTAATAAAATGAGTCACTCGTTGAAAAGTGGGTTTATCAAAAGGATCATTCAAGTGTACTAACTATTTCTATAATAGTTCTACTTAAACATATAGCTTATTCAATAAATTATCTGACACACTTTACTAAACAGTCAACTTCAAATGAGAATTTAAAACCAAAACATATCAATATTTAGATTTGTACAGTGTGATAACTTTCAGAGAGATATCACATAGAAACAATACAGTTAACACAACTCAATTGTAACGTAATGATGACCGGGACAGGGGAATATTAATGACTGAATATTCAATACTTGAAATATGAATAAATTAACTGATTACACTGTCACGACAGGGGAATATGAATGACTGAATATCCAATAAATGAAATATGAATAAATTAACTGATTACACTGTCACGACAGGGGAATATGAATGACTGAATATCCAATAAATGAAATATGAATAAATTAACTGATTACACTGTCATGACAGGGGAATATGAATGACTGAATATCCAATAAATGAAATATGAATAAATTAACTGATTACACTGTCATGACAGGGGAATATGAATGACTGAATATCCAATAAATGAAATATGAATAAATTAACTGATTACACTGTCACGACAGGGGAATATGAATGACTGAATATCCAATAAATGAAATATGAATAAATTAACTGATTACACTGTCATGACAGGGGAATATGAATGACTGAATATCCAATAAATGAAATATGAATAAATTAACTGATTACACTGTCATGACAGGGGAATATGAATGACTGAATATTCAATAAATGAAATATGAATAAATTAACTGATTACACTGTCATGACAGGGGAATATGAATGACTGAATATTCAATAAATGAAATATGAATAAATTAACTGATTACACTGTCATGACAGGGGAATATGAATGACTGAATATCCAATAAATGAAATATGAATAAATTAACTGATTACACTGTCACGACAGGGGAATATGAATGACTGAATATCCAATAAATGAAATATGAATAAATTAACTGATTACACTGTCATGACAGGGGAATATGAATGACTGAATATCCAATAAATGAAATATGAATAAATTAACTGATTACACTGTCATGACAGGGGAATATGAATGACTGAATATCCAATAAATGAAATATGAATAAATTAACTGATTACACTGTCATGACAGGGGAATATAAATGACTGAATATCCAATAAATGAAATATGAATAAATTAACTGATTACGCTGTCACGACAGGGGAATATGAATGTATGAATATCAAATTACGGAAAATAAAAAAAATAACTGATAAATTCAAAACTTATTTACCAAAGGTTTTAATAAATATTATTACATTATATTATAAGCTTATAAAATATTTTTAATCTAAAATAATAAATTTGAAACCCTTACTAAATAAATATAATTATTGATATTTAATATTTATTTAAACCATGTATCAAAAATGTCATCTTTCTAAGTGAAAAAATCAATGAAGATATTTCAAAAATTACTCCTTTGTAACGCTATTCTACAAGGACTGCATGAAAGGTCTTATATTCAATACCAATCAGTGAAGCCTCTTAAACTCGATAAATTTCTACTTGGCTTGCTATCTAGATTCAGAATTAGCTTTGCATTTCCTCAAACACAACCAATTGTATAATCAAATCTTTCATGAAATCTTAACCATGAAAATGAATATCAATAAAATTCTAAATATCAATAAATACAATAGACATCTGTTCTCAATACTTGTATTAAATTGTATAAGTTATAACTATTATAGATTTATACAATACATGTAAATCAGTAACAATACTCAGTTTTAACTAGTGTTTCACAAAAAAAAAATTTATAATTTGTTTTTTTCATTTATTTAGCTAACTTGTAATGAATTAAATTGGTCTCATAAAAAATCAACATCAAATACTGCAAACAGATCTTTAAAATGCAAAACTTGTACAAGCAATGTCCTGCATCAGTAAGAAAATAGGAAAATAATAACATGTTATTTAACTCTGCTATGATTAAACTTTCGGTTTGAATCACCTCACCCCTTAAATAAACTGTCAAGTCAAAAATATCATATAATTTTTCTGCCATTTAAGCTTACGTCAATAATTGTCATAAAGAGTTTAAATGATATATATATATATAACATTTCTCTTACAAAAATCAATTTTATTCATAGACTTGTCGAGAATATAGAAATATTTTATTTATTGTACAATAACAATATATTATATCAGCTTGATATTATACATACACCTAGCCAATAATTATATTATCTATGTTTCTAACAACTGTCATTCCCAGGAATAAAACCATTAATATATTCATCAGACAATTCCAGAAAACAGAAGTTTGAAATCTATAGGGAAAAATACAGCTGTACGATTTGTAATTGATTTTAAAAGGAATTGGTAGAGTATAATATCTATTTTCTATTACTCAATTAGTTACATGGGACATTATTCGCGTCCATTTGTGGTAAATTTTCTGTCCATGGTTTCAGGGTGTAAAAATTCCCACTCATTTCCAATTTTGCAACTTTCATTTACAAATGTAGATACGTAGGTTATTGAGTCATTTTAGAGCAAATATAAAGCAAGGAAGACAGATATGTAAATCTTACTTAATATGTTTCACTTCTACTTTCTTAGCCTTAAACGAAAATAAGTTTGGGTTTTGCTGAATTCATCCTATATTTAGCTGAAACCTTAAATAGATGTATATTTCCTTACTAGACATATATATACCGGTATATGAAATGAAAAGTAGTTTGGTGAAATTCGAAGAAAAATTGTCTGCAATCATATGACCCAGAATTTGTAAAGGGAATAAGGAAATTAACCAGGGCAAGTTTGGCTAAATTTCAAAATTTATAAAAATATCACCCAAAATATTTATCTCTTCCAAAAATAATTTAAACTTTATAGAAATTTATTTGCCATTGCAATTATTTGTATCTTTTGCAGTTCTGTTTGAAGTCTGTATAGACAAATACAGAAATTGTATGAAAACATGTAGGTTTTACAATGTCATGGAGCAATTTTTTCGAGGTTAAAATTTTTTCACATACTACAGTACCTCATTGATATTCTGCTAAATATATTTCTCAAGAAAACATTGAAATTTTTTGTGTAGTCTGCAAGTTTTCTCAGGCACAGATGGAGTTTTAATTTCTTACGAAAATAAATATGTCTAAAAACATGTATGACACATTTTTTAGCTATCAGATAATATAATCTTGAAGTTTGAACAGTAGTTTATTATATAAGGAAGAATTATTAAGATATAAGATATGATATGACTGGTGAGGGGGTGAGTAATCATCACTTTACTCCTATATATATATCAAACAAAAAACACAATCAACATCATTCTTTACATGTTTCCTAAGTAAAGAACAACTTTGTTTTATAGTTATTTGGTTATTTTTACCCCATCATTTCATAACTCAAATGATGAAAGATTTGGTTTAATTTGAAAATTATGAAAAAATGTCAATAAATTTTTGAAAGTTTTTGTTTCATAATCAGTAAAAAATAAAACTGACAATCAGAATTATCATAAGTTTATCAAAATAAGTTGAGTCAATCTTTACAAACAAAGCAGTCTGTGCCCTGGAAAATATTTTTTTTAATCAAAAACACAGATTAAAACTTCAGCCTGGTAGAAGAAATTATTAGCCAATGAATTTTACCATCAATTTTAAAAGGTTACTACTGGCATAAATAAAAAGAAAACTGATTTAAAATGACTTTACATTACAATAAGTTGAATTTTTAAAAAAGCTATATTTCAAAAAAGATTATATGTCATTTACAGCCATTTCTAAACCTTTAAAGGTGATTTGAAGACTTGAGTTGAAAGATAACTTTTACTGAAATTTGACATTCAAAATGGTCGTAGACTAGTTCATGTGTGTTTTTTTCCATGTAAAAACCATACATAATTTCCTTTATGGCATGTCAGGCTGTCTATTCCATCAATGATGGATACGATGGTAAAATTAATTTGGCATCTAAGCTAGTTTCAGAAAACAAGAGATGCATGAGATGTATGACAAAGCTTGTATTAATAGGTAGATGTAAAAGTATTCAGATTATACAACCACCAACTGTTATACTGAAGTTATAATTAAAATACACATATTGTTTGTTCTTTTTTCTTCTATTTAGTTTTACCACAGTAAATATTGTCTATTTCTATACATCATTAGGTGGTGGTGTCAAACTTTACCTTTCCTTAACCTTTCTGTCACACAGCCATTTTCAGAGAAAGTAGTCTAAAAATGAAGTTGTAAGTAACAAAAAAAACTATTCGTCAATTATATGAATTCCCTTAATGTGTTTTTTGTACTGAATTATGCAATCAATATGAAATACTAGTAATAACTGTCAATTGTTTATTATTTATATTCAGAATAGAATAAATGTCTTGAGACCATTTGAAGGGATAGTTAAAGAGGTTTTCTAAATTTTCTATGTGTATCAGAGACACTATGTCAATTTTAATCAGAAGTCTGTGGTTCCTGCAATTCCACAAAAATACAAGTTTGATAACGTAACAAAATCCTTCATGAGTAGTGATGTCATCAAACACTTATATAGGAGATTTATGAACTTCTTCACTCTACTTATAACAATACCATTAAGATGGTTTACTTAGTTCACTGTTTTAATGTGCCATTTTACCAGTAACAAGATTTTGAGTCTGCACAAATTTCTAATTTTGGCATGGCCAACCACTGCAGCCAAGACAGAATTTTCCATTCTTTCCTGTTTGAGATATGAATAGATGATAAGATTACTGTATGGACATTTTTTTCATTTCCATTTGTAAATGTAATATCACAAGTTTCTGATGTTGTTTCATTCGACATTTATCTTATCTTTATGTGGTTGTTATCACAGTAACAATATGACTGTAGAATTATACTGGATATTGACATATCAATTTCTTCTTCTTTAAGGAAATAAAAAACACATTTTCTATGGCATATCAATCAATAAACGGAACCAATCTTTGTTATCTTCTATTTTATCATCTACTTAAGAGAGTCCACGCAGCTAATATTTTTCTTATTAGGTATTTGTTTCACACCAGAGGCTGCTGGCTCTGTTAATGATAAAAGACCGTCCATGTGTCAGCTTATTAGCTTGCATTGAAGTCTATTTAATTTCAGTTGACTAGAATTATTATTGTATCAAGTGTCACTAGTGAGGCAGACTAAAACTCTTCTTATAAAACACCTGATTCCACTTTGTAACTGGATTTCTTATTTATTCATTCCTTTTAAAGACAACTGATACTTATTTTCCACATTTTATAATTTTTTTCTAGTGAAACATTCAAAATAAACAAAAGTCGAGGCAAAGTTAATACCTGGAGATTATTAGTTCATTTACGATTAACATACCTAGTCTTACAGAAAAAATAATATATAAATATATACATGTATCTCTAGTTTCCTATCTATCAATAAAGACATGATCTTTCCTGGATCATAAGATCTCATTTACAACTGAGACAACTGGAATAGTTGGAGAAGGAAGCTGAATTATTCATGACCATGTGATATTGCATGTCATGTCACACAAACTAGGATACACAACCATAATATTCTCCATGTATCCAAGTCAATTCTTTCATGAAATTTTTGAGTAATGAAGAGATGATTAACAAGACTATTCACAGTTTTTTTGGTATTTCAGTTTTTTTTTTTTGTACAAGATTAATCTGTAACAGTGCCAAATATGAAATATCTAGGATGAATTCTTTATAATCAGTATCAATAAAAATCTAGGACATGTTAAAGGGATTGTAAAGAGTTTTTCTAAACTTTCTATGCGTATTGGAGACACTGTTAGCATCAATTTCCAATTTTACACCTGTTGTCTCTGCAATGTGTTTTATGAGGTCACCAATTGCGAAGGGCTTTATGTGATACAAGTATATTTTGTGATTAGTGACGTCAAGAACTGTTTGTTTTAGTGGAATTGCAGGAACCACAGACGACTGATTGAAATTGGAATGCTGTAAATTGAAGCTATCTCTGTCTCCTATACACATAAAAAATTTAAAAAAACTCTCTACAATCCCGTTAATAATTGAAATCAAGACAGATCATGTAGGTTTTGATTTGTAACACTAATAAATGTTATAGCCAGCAGGCTAGCAAATTCCCTTTCAGACAAATATCATTTTCATACCAAATTAATTGAAAATATGAGGATTCCTGTGGACAATTGCAGACACAAAAGTTACATGAATACTTAAAACATTTAAAAAAAATCAATAAACTTCATAGAAAGAAAAAAAAATTGGAGAATAAGACATTTCTTTGAGGCCAATTTTAACAAAAACCTGGATAGAACAACATTTCTAAATATAATTCAACAGCTTAGAGAATTAATCTTCAATTACATGCATCAAGACAGAAAATGAACATGAATCTTTTCAAACAAGTTGAGTCAAGGACAATATTTAGAGCAAATTAAAAAAAAAGAAATAAGCTGTCGATAATGTGCAACACTATCTAGTGTGCAATCAGGAAATTTTTTAATCAATTTTCCCTTTTTGGAAAAATATTTAGCTTTCACACACTGCAGAGGAAAAGTTATATATTTGCTATGAATTTAAAATTTTGATAATCAATTATTAATTAAATATTGTGATTATGAATTGATTATTGAAACTAATCTGAAAAGGTTTATCCTTTCAAAACATCTGAATATATGCTGTCTTGACCTGAAGTCGCATTAAACTCTCTTTCTTTGATAATATAATAATATATATTCATAAAGTATATTTTTAACCCTCTCCCAACTAGCACATTATATATATGATAATATATCTGAGGAATGACCTATGATGCCTGTTGCCAGTTATTATTCATGGGATAACCAACTTGTCCTTGCCCAGAGAATAAGGTTACTATGATTGTATGTTAATAATTGTACCGGTATATCTGTTAATAAAGCACAAAGTAACTTACCAAATACCACTGAGCACCATACAAGGAATCATTAAATTCATCAGCATTGGGATTAGGTTTGATTAAATCACGTTTATACCGGGGTTTGTGAACTTGTTGTTCAAACCAGTGAACCTAGAAATTAGAAAACATGGTGCTTGATTATTTGAAATAAGAAGAATATCAGAAGGAGGTAAACATAATGACTTCCCATATACTATTATTGGATTCCTACGGTTGCACTTTCATTATTAATGAAATTTCAGCTTCAGATAGCTTATAGAGGCAGTGTACATCTATTTATAGGGTATGAAGCAATGATATCATACGCATAATAAAGCAATGGAGGTAAATTAGGTTTTTTTTTTATAAATTGTCGGCAAATGAAGACGAGCAATGCCATGCAGTGGGAAATGTTGCCAGGACAACTACATTTGCCTACTTATTTTCAATTTCTAACTTTAATGTGCACAGTCTGTAACACATGGGGCCTCGGTTTAAAGATGGGTTTCCTTATTTTTAGTGTAAAATTAATCAAACTATTTGATTAATTGGTGTTCTAATCAATTATTATATTCTTATGTTCTTATTGCATATAATTAAGAGTTTTAATCATAAATGACCATGGATGTATGTACAGTCTGAATAAACAAAAAAAATACTTTTTACTTAAGTGGAATTCTGCTGGTAATTTGTTTTCTTATTTGGCTAATTATATGAGACAAACTGGTATTTTTCCAAGTCATTGGAACACCTTTACTCTCTATTCATGAAAATAAGGGAACCCATCTTTAATGTCCAATCACAAAGGCTAGACACTTTTTCCATGCCAGCCAAATCCGAAGATATTGTATTATATATATGGACCTATCTGCTGGGATGGAATCCCAGACCTTCAGGTTAGCGAGAAAGTGTCTACCTCACTGAGCCACCCTGGCTCCTTTACAAAATTACAGGCACTAGGAGAGGATTGAGTTACAACTACAGTTTAATGAAGCAGGAATATATATATATTCCCTTTATAGTTCTAAAGTAAACAGATCTATACTTGTAGCCCATAATGAAAATGTACAAAAACTTACGTCTTGATGATTGGATAATAAGGCATGATGTTCTGGACTGTGTGTAGCAGAACGACGTTGTCTATTGGGGATTTCAAGGAAATAATGATCATCTATACTTCCAATCTATTATAAAAAGAGAGAATGACATGTAGAATTTCATTTAAGGTTATACTGAGACATTGAACAGTAAACTGGGAATTGTTTAGTATTTAACTATGTAGGGTTTCATTACATTTCCAATCCATAACAAAAAAATTTATGTTCAGTCGCAGACTCTTCAATTAATCAAAAAATAACTTAGAAATCTACATTTAATTAATCAACTGATGCCATTGTAAGTATCATAATTTCATAGTCAACTATAAGCCTATTAGCTTGTGACTAAAATTCCAGACTTTTTTCCTGATTTTTTATGTCAAAATCAATGAGCTTAAGCTTTACTTCATAATCAGCAAAATCACATTAACAGTTTCATAATAATTGTCCTTCATATGTAGAAAAAGTGACTTTAATCAACATACAATATTGTGAATCAATTATCCATTTAACTTCTCAGAAGAGAAATCTGACATCTAGTTCATCTCCAATTCAATCAGTCATTTTATAATTACACTATGCAGGTCTTATGCCATTATGGAGCAATCATATGATTAGTATGGCAGGCTTGTTGGAAAATGTTCACACTAGATACTGTGTTTCCTTTGACTGAACTGTGAATATAATGAATTTGTAGACAAACTGAAAGTCTGATTTTCCTTCTGAAAAGTGAAACTGGTCGAAATTGAAATAAGAATATGAGCTAAGAATGTAACTTATATATTAAAGATCATACTGATACCTCTTTAAAAGTAATAATTTTACAACATACCTGTCCCTTGTTGATTAATCCTGTAGATCTTAACACTCTGTTTAATCCTTCTCTACCTCCTTTAATATGTACAGCAAACTGATTGATATAGTTGGCTTGACAAGTTACAATTAGTAAGAAAACTATCCATAATAATTGATACATGTTTTGACCATTATGATTAGTCACACAATACATAGGGATGTTCAAACTAACAATCAGGATTGAATTTCTTTTCTTAAATCACCGGTATGGTAGGTACCTACAATAAAGTTTAACACCTGTTAATTTACTGTAATAACGAAATTTAGATAAAACTTTTTCACATTTGTATGACTTGAAATATCAACTAAAAAATACTGCCGTACTGACAGCCTTAGATTGCCTTTGGGTGATGAAAATACCAACCACTGGAAAAGTTATTATTTTTAAATAGATTTTACAGATGGGAATTTTCAAGATAATTCTCTGCGTGGGAAGTGTAACCTTATCTAATTCAAGCGTGTATTTTTGAGTAACAACAGGACTCAAATTCTGTTTTAATATTTCTATATCGCTCTACTAAGCTCATTGAGCATTTTGTTAACAGTGAAAATATTTTATTATTGAACCTTATATTTCTATAGACCTGAAGACATTCTAAGACAAATGGCATCTAGGCAGGTCTAAGCTATAATTGAAAATTTTATTTTGAATATTTCTGAAATGTGATCAAAAATTTAATTCAAAGCTCAATGTAGTCAGAGAGTAGTTACTGGGCCAGATTTAGCACATTATCTAATAAGAATTCAAAATAAAATTTCAAAATCAACCATGTCATGAATATGGTACTCTCAGTATGTACAGAATAAGACAACTTATTGTCTGACCAGAGAGATTATGAAGATAATCTGTATTCTGTCATTTAAAAAATATTTTAATTAGGCTATGATTTGTCATGAAATTCAAATGCAGTTAGTTTCTGACATACGACAATTACATACTTGTAAAACAGTTTCCTTTATCATGTCATATAACTTTAGCTTATTTTACAGATCAGCAGTGTTCTACTCCTATCATAAAATAATAACATAGTCTTGCCTAGTAGCCTAATTAACAGCAGATTATAAAATTCAAAGTTACCGCACTCCCTACTTTTTTGAATCCTTATCTTATCAATAATAACGGACATGAAAAGTACTGGAAGTTTCACCAATTCAAAGACTAGGTCAAGTTTAGATTGTGATATTGTGACCATTACCAATTATCTATTTTTAAGGTTGGTCATTGATGGCAAAATTCATCAAAAATGCGATGCAGATTCAGGAGTTTTTACAGTACAGCGGGACACACAGTTCATGGAGTGCGTCCGTTTCGTTAATTCAATTACTTACTTTATTCTTATTGATTAAGATGATAATAACCTATAACACTATGATTTCCACTAATCCATTTCACTTAATGTAAACTCCAAGAGGTTGCCTTTTAATTCTGTACAAGTTATGTAGACTTGAGTGAACGGATAACGTCAGAGATCTACGAATCAACACGGAGCTAAATGACATTGACCTTTCAAAATAGAGCCATCTAGTGTTGAGCGATAACGTAACCATTCAGACTTTAAAGGAGTTATAAGTTTCAAAAAGGTTATTTAACATTTTCATGTGTGTCGAGACTATATAATATGCCAACATGCTCACATAACAAGTTGATACCAATGTTATGGAGCATGATATTTGATGACGTTTTTGTCTAATAAATTTGAAAAGCAGGGTACGTACTATTTTCAAGGGAAGACAATCGTGTAATTAAAGTAAACAAAAACGTGCTTTTAAGTCTAGAAACTTTAAAATAATTAATCTTTACTGAATGGCTCGACAGTCTTAGGAGAGAAAGGGTCAGTATTGATAATCTGAACATTTTCGTCACTGTCAATTTCTCTCCCTCCCTGCCCGCCATGTGACATGACATAGAAGGAGACCAAAGTTCAACAGGTGGTCGGGTTTCACCAATTTGACATGTAGTATGTAGTGTAGTCTGTACTTCTACCAACGAGTAGGGCCTACTAGCCATGTCAAATTTTGTACTTACCGTGCGTTGGAATGGACAAAATTTGCACTTCACTGAGAACTTATGAAATAATATTCAGTTTTACATCCAATGTTTCTGTCTCTGACTTAGACTTTTCATTTATAATACAGTGGTGTAACCTATATTCATGCATATAAGGATTCTACACTGAATTTGGTCAAAATTAAAAAACACAAATTGTTTTTTTATGTTTTAGCGTTTCCTCACATATTCTATAAAATAATTAGAATTGGCTTGTATTGATTATCTTGACCCATATTTCAAGAGCAACCAACCCGAAAATGTCGGCTAATTTACAATTTTTGATTTATAAATAAGTCGAGGAAAACACGTTGTATGGATACCCAGTGGTATAATTAACTTTTCTTTAATTCATCTATTACTAATGACAATTCCTTCAAAGAACCATGATTTAAAAAAAAATAATGACTGACAAAAAATAAGAGTGATTTTTTGCTAAAAGTCATTGAAACAACATAAGAATATGGCCCACATTGTCATCCATAGAATTTTTCTGCTTACACGGAATTCCAATTAGAACTTGGGTTTATATAGACATTTGGTCGGTAAAAATCTGTGATATTATGTAATAGGCCTAACTGAAATCCGCCATTTTGTACAATAAATTTGATGTGACTTTGAAAAAAAATTCTGCAGGTTGCAAAGATAACCTATGTTTATCAAAACATGCAAATTCAGAGGTCACTTGGTCGCGCATGTGAATTATTAACCATTTCTGGATATGCACGAAATTTTGTATTTGTGAATTGAAATTCATTTATTTAATTCTGTGTTCACTGTGATCTTCCAAATACCAACAGCTACTCCATTTCATACCATGATTTTTTTTTCAGATAACATGATAATGAATCTGTGTAGGGTTAGATTGAATATATGCCAATATTTTATGAGACCTCCTGAACAATGTAAACTGTTGAGGTTCATACCCAATATGATGTACAGTATAACACCAGATAAAGTTATATATTGTAACACTAAAGCTCTTGAAGCTCATCATTATTTTTCATATCTATCAAGTATCAACAAGTATAAACCTTATTTTTACAACTTTACTGATGAAATATATGACATTGGTATGAAGCAAGAAGAACTTTCTCCATTCCTACAAGAGTTGCTTACAACATTACATGATTCGGATGCGAAAAAAGTAAACCCTGGAAAAATAACTTTATCTGAATCATCACATTCAAAATTAGTCAATGGACAAGAAGAATGGCTAATTTCAATCAGAAAAGCTACAAATCCGAGTTTTTTAAAAGACTTACAATTTGTAGGTCTGTTATGGTGTTTCAATCGAAACCATTTACAATATTCTGTTGCCAAAGTGATCTATAGAGAATTGGAAAAAAGATATTTCTCGTTTGACACCCAATCATGTTTAAAGGCTGCTACTTTTTTGTATATATTTAAAGCAAATAACATGATAAATTTGACTAATCTGTCCAAGCTATGGTGTTTGATTGTCAGAAAACTTTACGAAAAAGTTTACCATTTATCAGATGCGGAAATAATTATGGTTATATATTTTAGTGGTTTAACACGAAGTAAAGGACTTGCAAAAATCACCAATGACTTAAGTTATCGTTTTGTGAAAACTTTGAGATATTTGAGCCCAGATGAAATTGGTGTTATTGCTATAAGTAACTTTTTAACTAGAAACACTAAAGTGACTAAAATGGGCTTCATTTTTTTAAGCTATTTCATGGTAAATATCGAACATATGAATATAATGTGTTTTACATCCTGTTGCAAATATCTTAAGAACATAAAACCTAGTTTATATGAATATGAATTAGAACATGTATACTCATTTTTGATGTCATTTCATCAGGTAATGAGTTCTTTTTCAAAAGTGTCTGCATTAATGCATGGATACTTATTTCTATTGAATCATAGAATATTTACTGAGGATTTGATACAATACTTTAATAGGTTTGTATTAGAAAGTGATTTAACTTCATGGAGATCAAAAGAATTAAGCTACTCTTCAGGAATAATTGGAAAAATGTATCCTTTGTTTCCTGACTCACATGATATGTTATCGACTTTATTAAATGAATTATGTAAAGAAAAACGTGCAGAAGAGATAAAAACGTATGAATACCAATTAACTTTAGCTTTAGACTGTTCTAGTAGAGCTGGTTATTATCCTATCAAACTGATTCAATATATTTATGGAGAAAAAGGTTATAGGTATTTTAAAGGTATGATAGTTTCATTAATAATTAGATAGATACTGTTGTTCATTTCTCAGCTATGCATATCACTTTAAGCAATTAAAATCTGACAGTTGGGCCTACTACAATTCAATTAAAATGTACCTCTACAGTTAAGATAGACCTAAAAATCTGCCTCTATTCAGCTTATGATAGCCATTTTGAAAGTTGTAGGTTGGTGTAGAGACAGAAAAACTAGGCATTCATACCTAGATTCTGTTATATAATGTTAAATCTATGAGCCTTGTATGTCACTATATGCTTATTGCTTAGTGATGTATGTAATTTTACAATAAACAATCTGTTTTTATTTTCAGATAATCTTAAAGAGAACTATGAACAACATAGATGTATTTTAAACAGACTGGAGCTAGATCAACCAGAGTTATTTAAGAAAATCCCTCCCTTATCTCATAATCCTGTAGGTATATGGAATATAGAATTTTTCGATCTAAGAGGCTAATTTTTTGTGAAAAGATTTCTTATATTCCGGGACATATCTAGAAAATGCTTGAGAGGAGGGGGTGGGGTGGGAGGTAGCCTTTGAGACAGTCAGGGGACCCCAGAAGCCAACAGATTTCAGATGGCCTGAGATAAAATTTGAGCATATAGAGGGCTTAATTCAAAATAAGATCATTCACAGGCTGATGGTCTTAGCTTTGATAATTCATGAATTTTTTTTTTATTCTGGCCCTAATGATATGTCACAACCAACATTTTGCTAAACAGCATTCCAAATGATAAGTTGAGAGCTAACAAATTAACAAGGTAGACACAAAATAATTCTTATCTGAATTATTCAAGATGGTATGAAATATATTATCTAATGTAGTTAAATATCAGTCTTTTGTATTTCTAGAACAATATCTATATATCTCCACCAAGAAAAATTTCAAATTTTTTGAAGAGTTTATAAATGTATCAACTAAAGAGTTTGGATGTAAGGTGGCAAAAACAGTTTATAACTTTAATTCTGATAATCAAGGTACAGAGCAGTTTTATTTCATGGCCCTTTTACGAGGTTTTAAATCTGACTGTTTATACACCTGTTATTTAGTTGGTGGTTTTGATCACAAGATCTGTCCTTCTACAAGCTTTTGAACGTACCAAAAAGTCAAAATGACCAGATATGGCATATAGAAGGTTTCAAGTGGTCACCCACAATATATACTTACATATTGGATGTTGTTCAAATGTTCTTCTTGCTATAAATTCATAATTGAACATTTGTGGCAAAAATATTCACAATCTTTCACACAAGTCAAGAATTTTGTCTCTGTTCACATTAAAATGAAATGGTTTGATTCAAATTTTGCCTTTTAGCCTTTAGGGTAACTGTTCATTCACTAATGGTTTTCTGTATTATATATTCTGCTGTATATCATTTCAAGTCTTCTATGATTGAAAATAGTTTTAATATATTGTAGATTTGGAATTACGTGTAAAACATGGTAAACTGATTCCAGTTGATGAATGGCAAGGATTGGATGAGTAAGTTATAACAGATACTTTATGTTTATATTGAGTATATATCGCTTTAAACAAATTGGTAATAAAAAATTTAGAAAATGGAGACTCATTGCTTTCATGGAAATGTTACAATGTTTGTTGGCATTCCCGACACGTAAGATTGTTACAGATTGCCAAACCTTTATATTCCTTTGAAAATGCCAAAAACAAATGCTGTGACTTGGTTATTGGTGTCAATGGCGACCACCTCTCTATGTCTGCTTTCCCTACATGCTTATGGTAACCTTAACATGGTCTCAGCCAATTTTCCATTGCTGTAGCAGCTCAGTTGGGAAGCCTTTCCAATGTTACAGTGGTAAAACAGAAGACACTCACCATGGTATTAAGTGCAAATTAGGTTTTTAAAGGTATACTACCTCTTAGGATAACCTAATTATCAAATCTATGCAAAGGAATCCCTATATATAATCCAATAAATCCATAAAACTAAGTAATAAGTCATTAAACTTTGTAATTATAAAACAAGTTTAGAAGCATGTTTCAATAATTATTGAGTTTAATAGATATATTGCCTTATATAGAGATTCTATTCTTTAGTCATGACACCTAGTAAGTCCAACTGATGAATATATACACATGTTGATCAAGTTTTTATGTTATAACCCTATTTATGTGATATTGTATAACAAAGTTATATATAATATAATTATGAAATGTATTATAGGTGTATAAAAGTAGTGTTAGTATACACACTAAATAATCAGTACCACTATGTTATTGATGACAGTTATAATATTTACTATGAATTAAATGGCTTAATCAGCAGTAAATTGAGACTGTATGAGAAAAGTGGTTATACTACTATACTGGTAGGTATATACTTAGTGATCTCAAAAAAATATATGATCAAAATTATCACACACCCACTCTTTAAAAGGACAGGTTCGCCATCTGTTTGACCAATCATACCTTAGTCTCAGAGACGGGAATTTTAGTTAAGTTAATCAGTAATTGTGTTTACAGCTCACTGTTGAAATTTGAGCCTTCAAATCCATGTCTGTCCAGAAGTATCTGCCTTTGAAAGTTAAAAAGAAGAGTCATCTTTTCTTCAGACACTGACATAGACAAGACATTAAAAAGTGAAATTCCTAGTTTGAGGTATTTTTGAAGGAATCATGCGATTTTCATACATTTCTTGTACAATTTACAAAAATTCAAGACCCAATCCAACACCCCAAAAATGGTGTATCTGATTTTTTTTAGTAGGACAGAAAATATAGGTGCCCAAATTAAGGAAAATTTGCATATTATCCCTTTAAAAGTTTTTTTAACATGTCTAAGAACTATAAATGGTTATTGTTTATGATCTATATTTTACAGGCTAAAGAAGAAAGGCAGATATCAGAATTACCCAAATATTACAGCAAATTAATGGATGATATTAGAGAAATATGTGACAATAGTGAAACTAATGATGTCAAAATACACTATTTATAATTGGAGGCCATGTAAGATAATGGGGGTGGTTTCTTACAACAGTCTTAGATCAGCTTTGTATTGAATTAATCTTGTTACACACAGTTGTGAAAATACTTGGGTGCTGGTCACGTAATGATGGTAGTTGCTTATCTGTCGTAAACTATATTGAAAAGTCGTAGAGGGGTGATTGGTTTATAAAGGTGGTCAGGTGAGCAGGATTCACTGTATTTTAGTGATAAAGATGATGAATTGGAAAGTATGGGATGTCCACTAGATACTGTGAGCAGATTACTGATAAAATATTTGAACTGATAGGTTATGTCTAAAGCACAAGATGACCCTTAACCCCTTGGGTCTACATTCAACGAATAGTATCATTTTAATCTTCAAAATATATAATTTTCCATGAAGAGTTTTCGTGTTTTTTTATATGCACATGAAATGATGTGCTACATTTGAAACTTAGGGAAAGATAACCACGTCCAGCAACATGAGATGATTTAATTTGGAACGAATTTCATTATGGGTCTTTACTTTTTGTATTTCAACATCACCTCGTATCTCTGACCACTATTGAGATAACCATTATTCTATCTCCACATATGCCAGATGAGATCTAACCTTTGACCATCTCCACAAAGTAAAAAAACTAGCCACATTTCTTGCCTCACAGAATGCAGAATTGGATTGGAGTGTACATCAGCAGGAACATCCAATCGTAGCTCTCAACAGAAAAACTGTAAAGATAACTTATTGCTTACACAGATTCTGTTATACAATCCAATCAAATCGCTGCATTTACAAACTTCGGGATAACTGTAAAGTGACCATGGAACTTATGGAAGCCAACAAACTCTTCCAAGAGAAGGAAAACAAAGACCTTTAAAAAAAGATAATCATTATAACATTAGTTTTAATTGTAACACTGACTTTATAAGTAACAGTGTTTACAACATTCATTATACAAACAACAATACTTATAAATTCTTTATAACATATATAACTTAGAGTTAATTCAATATATATGTACAGGACAATAATATTATCTTGGTTCACTGGTTCACTTGATGTTTAAGGATTTCATAATCATGTGACAATTTGAATGACAGCAACCATAAGGTTTTAAGTAAGCTAAATTATCTTAAAGGGACAAGCTCACTGTTATTTTGACCAATAATTTCTTAGTTTCAGAAACAGGATGTTTTTAGCTAAGTCAATGAGTTAATGAGACTTCAAATCCGTGTGTCCAGAATTATCTACATTCCAAAGTTAAAATGACTTGTCTTTTGACTCCACTATGATGAGCCAATAATTTAATAATTATGATTTGAATTATTCTGTCATATATTCCTCTGAATCTTCATCATCATGAGAATCTGTTAATAACTCCATTAATACTTTAAATCTCTCTGTTATCTGAAATATAATCATATCACACATATATCACAAAGATACATGACCTCACAATTCATGTTTCAAGGGATAGAGATTCAAATGTGAAATGTATAAAGTGCATGAAATGAAATTATAATTAAAGTTACCTCAGCAGGTGATTTTGTGACTAGTTTTTGTGAAATTTTCTGATATGTTTCTGGTTTAGCTCCATCAATCTGACACATTTCTAATATAATACGATCCATTTCTCTACAAAATACAAAAAATCAAATATTTAAATAATGTTATAGTAAATAAAGTCATATGTTTTATAACAGGGCGAAAATGTGACTAAAGTAAATCTTTCAACTCTTTTGTGATCCATATAATATGAAATTTCATAAATTTAGCACAAGTAATTAACAATGATTACATATATTCTAACTTTACCATTAAAGAGATTGCAAACTGGTTTTCTAAATTTTTTATGTGTATTGGAGACACTGATAGCATCAATTTGCACCATTCCAATTTTCAATCAGAAACTATAACAATAGTCTCTTTCAGTAATCTAATTTTTAAATTCATCACATGAGCTTTGTGGCTGTCCTCTGAAATATTTAAGAGAGCCTCAGGTAATGTTTCAGGACAGTGCAGGGTACTTACCTACTCCAAGTAACATCATCTGATATAGACTTCTCTTTTTTATCATTAACTTGGCCTACATCTTCCTGAACATTAATATTAGCACTGTCACTTTTACTGAGGGTTTTATTAGCCCCTATTGTCCCAGACATCACAGTGGGAAAATTCACATCACTGACAGAAGTGGTCATAGCACCAGACGATGATTGTATGGTAGGAGATATTCCAGTCAAGGGAAATAACTCTGAAGTGTTGATAATCACTGAGTTTACATTAGTTATTGTTTCTAAGCTAGTGGTGGTTACAGGTTGACTATATGATTGTGTTTGAGTATTAATATTAGGTTGAGTAAGTAAATCGGAATAGATTGGGTTTATAGCTCCACTAAATGAAAGTTGAGAACCACTAACACTTGCTGCTGAACCAGTTTGTGATTTAGTTGGACTGTTCACCATTCGAAAAAAATTGGAATCCATAGACACATCACCTCTTTGAATTTCTGCTTCTTTTAAAGCTGCAGCTAAAAGATCTGCAGTGGAATTTTCATTCAGTAAATATGGTTTTGAAGCTATATTGCCTATTGTTCCTTTAACAGCTTTAGCCAAGAGATCGGATGATGAATTTTCATTAATTGTTGCCCATGGTTTATCTTGATTGATATTCAGAGTTTTATTAGGATCTAGGAAGGTTGATAAACTGATATTACTATCCTCGGTAGTGAAAGTTGGTAGCGGTATACTAGCTAGTGTAGTTGTTGGTATAGTATTTGTAACAGTAATAGTTCCTGTATCAACACTACTAGTTAAATTACTAACATCACTTGTACTATATTTTACTGGTGATGTTATTTCATTTAATGATAAAAATCTCTTTTCTCCTGCTTTATTCTTGTCTGTCTTCAACTAAAAATAGAATGTATATGGTAACTGTAGAAATGGCCCTCGACACCAAAAATACTATGCTCAAGAATACCCTTGATTGTAGTGAAATGTCTATACCAATTACATGACAGAAAGGGTGTGTGCAGCACATAAGCAATAAGACATACACCAATTGCTTTTTCTGCAAAGAAATCAGAGCTTTTACTTTTTGTCTTTGATATTAAGCCATGTATTTTACAGAAGCAAATAAATTCCTATACCGGTATCAGATTGACCTTATGAGGATTGTGATGCTATCTGGTGTGCAATGAGGGAAATATTGATCAAATTGGGTTGTGAAATCTATACCTACCTTCATTTTCTTAGCTTTCTTCAATGAACAGTGTTTAAGAGGAGATTCTCCTGTGTTCTGTATAACAGATGATACTGGTGGAGACATCTCATTTTCTTTATCCTCTATTGATAGTTTCTCACCAGGTCTGTCAATAGGAGATACTGGTGACTCTACAGTTGTTGGTGGAAAGTCATCAGATGAACATTCTGCTGGTACTTTATGAAACACCACTTTGACTGGCTGTAATTTATTTTTACTGGTTTGGAAATATAATCCACCATCGACATTCTAGAATAAAAACAGGAAATCCAGCACATTGTTTGTAACTAAGTTGACTTTTTTAATTGACAGTATAAATACTGTTTATTTAGGAGAGGGGATAATACTTGAAGTACATGTATAGTACATAGTACACAGCCCTTCCATAAGGGGTCTTTTACTGGGTAAAAATCTGTGCATTATACACACAAATATACAGTATATGAATTGCAAAATTTCTCAGTCTGGGGTAAATTGTTCTTATTAAAAGCAAAGATGGCGTACCTTCAAACAGCAATCATAACAATGTTTTAATCTAGCTTGTAATTTAGTATCATTAGGATCTTTATGACAATCACAGGGACATCTTTTAGTACGGTATGTATCATATTCTGCTGGTATATCTATTTCTTCAAAACCATCATCTTCATTATCACTATTATCAGATAGATTGACTTCTTCATAATCTTCTGTATGGCTACAATTATTGTAATACATATATATACCAAATAAATACTTTAGTTATCAAAATAGTTTAGTTATGTAGACTTATATTGTGAAATACACTTAAATAGTGCGAGTATATAGATGGATATATAAAACAGAACCTGAAACATGTTGTTACTCATAGTTTCATGCAGTGCAATCTTCAGACAACTGACATATTTTAGCCTGCATCCCTACTATGCAAATCTTACAAGTCCTGTGCCTGTGCTTTCGTAACTGTGCCATTAGTACAAATTTACAACATTTAATCTCTACTATGCAAGTGCAAGAATGACTAACTAAAAACTGATAAAAACTGCTTGTGATGTAACAGAAAAATATTTATGATGAGAAAACATACAGACAATGTTTGGCTAAACTTTGTAAGGATGAAAAAAAAGGTTTGATTCTTACCATTCTGGTATTTTTTCATCAGGAAAAAACATATCAAACTCTTGTAATAATATAGGAGAACTTCTTAATAATGACCTTATCTGAGTTTTTAACAAATCACCCGTTTTATTTACATTCTTCTGCCATTTATCAAAACATCTTAGAATTCTCTGAAACTGTGTTGGTTGTTTCTCAAAATTTATCTATAAAATTGTATGATGATTTATATTAATTAGGTTATACATTTGAAATAAGTGACAATTTTATTGGAGTCATCTAAATATTTGCTTTACCAAACACTCAATTTAAGGTTTCCATGTCACTTTTCAGAATTAGAATCTAAAACAGACTCTCTTGCAATTAAACAAATAGGCTAACATATTTGAAATTACGACTCTCATCACTTCTAGAACATTAGTTTCCTAAGGAGATATTTCAATGTCTTAGGTCATAACTGCCTGTGAGAAAATTTACAAATGGCTTGGGAGTGATATTAGTCTCAACTGAAGTGGTGCATCAGATTTTAATTGTGAAAGAATTACAGGCAGTTGAAATTAAGTTTTTGACCTAATTAAAAAACATACATTCCTTGAATTTATCCACGCGACTCTTCAGTCAATACAGAAGATTTATCATTAATAAAATGAGGTGAAAATTTACCTCTAACTTTCGTAGAAATTCATTAGCACGTTGATATTCCTGATTAATACTAAAACAATCACATTCTACAGCTTCTTCTGGCCGTAAAAATCCAGCAAAATCTTCAATTAATTCTGGATAACATTTCAGTAAGTCACACAAGCTTTTATATAGCTGAAGAATAAAACAAGGAAATTTATCAGAGATATGGTATAGCATCAAGAATGAATGTCCAATGTAAACTGTTAATAGATATCATCTAAGCACAAACAGAGCGTGAGAAGCTAAAAAAATTAGGCAGCATCAGAAATTCTTCCAAAATTGTATCGAAGACAGCTATTTTTCAAAGGAAAGAATCAGCAAAGAAGAATTGGAGGGATAATAAAGGTGCCAGAATATATAGTTGTACACCATTCACACCAACAGGTAAGGTTTGTGGTTCCTTTAATCTAGCAATATTTGGACTAAATTAACTGTATACAATAATAACATCCAATTCTAATCTCCAGAAACACAGGAACTAAATACATACAGACAATCAGAATGATGCAAATGGAATCTAAAATGCAACTGATACAAATGAAAAAGCTTGAGAACCTCTTTCAAATACTTTCTATCAGTACATATAAATATATGTGTAAACCATAGTTATGCTTATGGCTATGTTCTTAGAGATTTAGTACCTGAAAGGATTGTACAACCTAAAGATCCCTGATTGGTTGATATTGATAATATTGACCAATCAGATTTCTACAAGTTAGAAAGATATCAGAATCGAGAGTTACAATATTTCTGAAAACTCCTCCAGCACAAGAACAAATTTCTTCAGACTTAAGTTTTAAAGCATGTTATACTCTCGTGCTTAGTCCAAGAAAACAAGGTTGACCACGAAATTTGTGTGAATTAACATATGATCTACCACCTGTTAGATTATATATTATTCAGCCATAAAACTCCATTTTTATTCCTACTTGACCTTAAACTTAATAACTGACATGACATGAGATGAGTAATAGTATGGTTTAATTGAGATAACCTATTTACCTTTCCTTCCACTGTCCTTATTTTTATATCAAATATTAACCCTACTTCTCATCATCTTGACAATTACTAACCCCTTCTAATACCTTGACATCATTAGGTACTTGTATAATAGAAGTTTGGATTGTTGGCTAGCAAATACAGCCAATCAGAGTCCTTGATTGAAAGACTGTAAACTATTAGGCTTTGAGTGTATAAGTACCAAATCTCATCTGCATTGGGCACTTCTGTTCTGCTTTACAAAAGAAAATGAACCTTTTTTTTTATATTCCATGAAAAATTACAAAAAGTGTCTAATGATTTCAAGGTATCAGAAGGAGTTTGAAAATGACTTGTTTACAAGGGTCATCAGATAGTCACAGACATTTCCATATTATGCTTCCAAGTATAGAAAATTTAGTTTTTGTTGCAAATTACCACATAAAATTACTTCAAACTGAAACGCTTAAAGAGATTTGAGGAGAAAAGTTTATTGGTTCTTAGTCAAGTCACTTGATGATAATACTAGTCTCAGACATCAAGCACTTACATCATCCAGTCATAAATCTTTGGACTTTCACACTTTAAGTTTTAAAAGTGGATTAAAATTAAAAATATCCATTCTAAATCATATTATGACATGATCTTCAAAATCAAACTCAGCTGCTTAATTCTCAACCTTACATTTATACAACATACTAATGAAAAATTATTATAATGGAGTTGAAACTCTGTGGGATTAGTCCATTACCATATTTCTCTTCAATTTTAACAAATGAGGACTCGCAATGGTATTACCAAGTATGAAAAGAATTTTGGGACTTCATGGCATCCAACCTTTCTTACCAAATATGGAATATCAGCAATTAAATGACACGTCTGACAACCACATAGATGGTGTAACAGCACCAACACCAGAATATAATGTTACCGAAGTTTGGAATAGTACCACACCTGGTTATATTGATATCTTAACAGAACTATCTTCTTATAGTCAGTATCAAATGGCACAGAATATCGGTATTTATACTAATCCTATACTCTTTATACTTGGTACCATTGGGAACTTTTTAAGTGTGCTGGTTATGACAAGGACATCAATGATCAAATCATCAACATGTTATTACATGGCAGCACTGGCTGTGGCAGATACATCTGTTTTATTCTGTGCTTGTCTTAGAACCTGGTTATCTTACATCATGGGATATGATTTGATAAATACATCAGCAGAGATATGTAAAACTATTTCATTTATGTGTTACTGGAGTTTTACAATGGCTGCCTGGATTTTGGTGGCCATGACGATTGATAGATATATAGTGATACACTATCCATTGATGGTACACAAGTATTCAACCATCAGACGAACACAGAAAGTCATGTTGTTATTGGGTTTCTTATTAATAGGATTTACTATGCATTATTTATTTACTGTTACTATTGATGAAGATGGAATCTGCCAAGCCATAAAAGAACACAAGAAAGAATTTTTAGAGATGGTATGGCCGTGGTTAGATGCTACAGTCTATTGTTTTCTACCATTTGTAATATTAGTAATTTTTAATGGATTGATCATCTATGATCATCATAAGGCAGTGAAAAGACGTTCATCTTTACAACAAATGACCTCTAGAAATGGTACACCAACATCATCTTTTGTGTATAAGAATTATGGCAACACGCGACTGACTCTAATGCTACTTGTTGTCTCCATTAGTTTTTTATTGACTTCCTCACCCAAAACTATACTAGTTATCATACGACCTTATATATTCGATGTGGTTTATCAAGAAGATAATAGCATAAATTATGATTTGCTGGCGAATTATAGTTTAGCGTCTGCTATAACCGATGTCTTAATGTATGCTAATCATTCGCTGAATTTTATACTATATTGTTTAAGTGGTAGTAAATTTCGCGAAGAATTAAAACGTATTATAATGATATGTGTTAGATGTAATAAACAGCCTAAGTTACCTGTGAACTATGGACTAGATAATATAAGAAGAAATAGTTCTATAAGTACCCTCAATACAGACATTGACAACTATTGTGGATCTATAGTTGTTGAAACTACTAACTTATAACATGTGAGACAATAATATTTCACCTGAACAATATTGCTTAGTTTTGTGGAAATATCGGTCCCTTTCTGAAGACCTAGACTATACTCTGTGTAAAATTCAAGTGACAATGTGCTCAGTACAAAGTATCATTTATTGCAGAATAATCAAACAGAATAATGAAATGATTGACTATAATTGTTTACATTAATAACCATGATGATGATAAATAACCATAATGATGGTGATAAACAACTATTTATTGTGCAAATGGTAAATAACTGCAATGATGGTGATAAATAATTATTGTGCAAATGGTAAATAACCATAATGATGATGATAAATAACTATTGTATGTGCAAATGGTAAATACCTGCAATGATGGTGATAAATAATTATTGTGCAAATGGTAAATACCTGCAATGATGGTGATAAATAATTATTGTGCAAATGGTAAATAATCATTATGATGATGATAAATAACTATTGTGCAAGTGGTAAATAACCGCAATGATGATGATAAATAACTATTGTGCAAATGGTAAATAACTCTTATGTTAGTGATAAATAACTATAGTGCAAATGGTAAATAACTCTTATGTTAGTGATAAATAACTATAGTGCAAATGGTAAATAACTCTTATGTTAGTGATAAGTAACTATAGTGCAAATGGTAAATAACCTCCAAAGCACAGCGGCCTTCATGTAGATAATAAATAACCATCAGGAGATAAATAACAATTATGAAGCCAATAAAGAACGAATAATAAATGACAAACTCTTATGTTGTACATTACAAAACTATTCTATAAACATAGTGTAGAAATATACATGTATAGCCTATTTATACTTACATTTATTGGTGATTGGGTTCCTTTACCAAATTCACACATTAATAATAAAAACTGTTCATATGTTTCCATATCATCTGATAATGTTTCTTTAACTTGATGCATATAAGCCTGAGCGAATGCAGTATCTCTATCATCTCTCTGAATAGACAAAAAAAAATTCATTTATTTAGTATAGTTAACCCATATAAAGGCATTCAACAATGGTTTGAAGGTTTATTGTTGTGAATACTCTAAGGTCCTATCTTGAGGGATTGGTCTCTTTTACAATAAATTATTGCTTTCTGAGATACCCTCCTACCATAGCTTACAATATTGGATAACAGTCATTATTACACAAGGGTAGATCAAATGGCTTACTATAATATATTTACCTTTGGGTCAGATTCTAAGATGTCTGGAGCTAATAAAGCTATATTCATTTCACGTCTTCTCTGGGCTTTGGTTTTATTATCATGGATCTGATGAGATGATTTACGTGGATCAAATCTACAAATAATAAGAATAGAAATAAATCTTCTAACTTTCAGTTTTACAATCCTGAATCGTCAAATTTTAACATGTTAGATGCTGTTGAGTTAGCAGATCTTTTTATTGAACTTCCCACCAGTTTTGAACACCACAGACTATGATGTTTGTTTTATGGTTATTTTGGTACCTAAATATCCAGTATTCAAATGCTTTCATAGTGATCAGATAAAGTTCAGAGTTCATGTTTACCTTATGGTGGTACTGGCAGCCATTAGTTCTTCTAAATTATCATCAATAGTAACATCTTCTAAATCATCTTCTGGTTGACTTTCATCTTGACTAGCAGACGCATCTTCCACTTCACTCTGATGTTCATCACTTTCCTCCATTTTCTCACTTTCAGACAATCTACGTTTAGTTACACGACTAGATTTCACAGCACTGTTGTTAAGATTTAATTGTTTTTGATATCTTGTATTAGGGTAATGTAAAGAGTCTGTAAAAGATGGAGGTTTTGGTAGTAACAATTTATTTGGACTATTTCCTTTATGGTAGATTTTAGCAGCTTTACGTTTGATTTGATTTGCAGCTCGTTTGGTGGGAGATATTTTAACATCATGCACATATCCTTTAGGTAAAATTGCTCTCACTCCTCTTTTTAATCTTGTCACTTTTGGACTGGTTTTCTTTTTGGGACTTAAAAATAATTGTTTATTAGCAGGTTGAGGCAAGTCAGATTTGGGTACAAGTTCCCGGTATTTTTTAGGCGTTGTTTCTAACTGACTCTGTTGCGTCACTACAGGATCTACCAAATAACTATTATAAAATGGAGCAAGAGTAGCAACTATTTCTACAGCAGTTTTAGGTGTGGTATTTGTGGAGGAATTTATAGATGAAGCTAGACTTGATGGTGTTGATAAGAAAGAACCAGATGTATCTGCAATTGGGGGGTCTGTCTTGTCATTTTTAGTTGGAGTCACAGTGTCTGCTGCTTCTTTCTGATGGATGGTATCAATATCACTGGAAGCTGTTGAAAAGACCTCCATATTGACTGGACTGGGAACAGGAGTGGTTACTAAGATTCCTGACAGATTGTTCTGTGATACAGCCACAATGGTTTTGGATGCAGGTTTTTCTGGTATACATCCCTCTTCTTTGTTCTCTGTGCTTTCTCTTGATGAATCTTTATCTATTGGATTGTCAGTTCTTGCTGATGATGCAACTGTTGATGTTTGATATTGCTCACTTGGTATGTCATCTGAAAGATGTTTCTCATCGTCCAAAACTTGAACTGGTACATCTGAAAGAGGTGAAGCTTGACTGTGAAGATCTACAAAGCCTACATGTTTAGGTTGCTTCACTATATCTTTGGGTGTATCTTCCTTTCCACCTCCCAGCAAACACTGGTCTTTCTCTTGCTGCTGTTCACTCACACCTGGCTTATTTAGTGTAGCACATGACTCTTCTTCTGTTTGTTGATCTTCAGTCTCATCCATTGGACATGATGCCATACCATGTTCTTCTTTACCACTTGTCTCATCTCCACTAAAAGTAAGACTATGGCCTGTGGAGTCTGGGGCAACAGATGCAATAGCTTGTGATGGTTTTGCAGTTGTCAGTTCTGCAGTTTTAGCTGTAGCTTGACTAGATGGTTGATTCACAGATACTAGTGCTGGCTGACTGTCAGTAGAATCAGGTAGATCTGAATGTGTATTGGTAAGGTGGTCTGTAACCGGACATGGTGAAGGTTGACTAGTAGAGTCTGGTGTTGGTGTATTGAAGTAATTGGAACTACCAGCAGCATGAGAATCTGTTTTTTCTGGTGTTGTTTTAGGTCTAGGTGCTGGTAGTTGGTATGGTGAACCATCAATGATGGCACTCTGAAGATCTGGTGGTAATTTAGAGGGAGAAGCATAACGTATTGGTACAAACAATCCTGCTGAAGTAATCAAAGCTGTAGGCATTGCTTGAGTCTTTGAAGCTTTAGGTGAAACAGGCACTGGGGTCTTATATGGAGACTTTTTAGGTGTTTTCTTTGACTTTGTTGATGTTTTGAATGATCTGAAAATTACATAAAAAATAATGATGACAAAATTAAAGTTCTGGGTTCTCTATACTAACTTTGACATAAATTTTGAAGAAAAGGTCATAGATTATAGCATTGTCCTTACTGTAACTTGGTCAGAAATTGAGCAAAAATTATTCGCTTTTTGAGAAAGCCTTGAAAAAACAAAGCCTTTAATGTTTTATTTACCTTGTATTTTTCTTCTTTGTTAATTTTATATCTTCTACTTTCTCAACTTCTACCTGTAATATGGAAGGAATATTTATGGGACACCTGATACCACCTGATTTAGGGTTTCTAGCCTGTGATCACACTTTTGTCAATTTTCCTATATTTCCATTATTATGAGTTTTCATGCAGTTTAAAAAAAAGTTGTTTTCACTCTCATTACAGTGACACTCAGTGAAGAATGATATTTGGTGGAATCCTGTCTTACCTTATTACATTCTTCTACACCTTTTCCTTTTTTCTCTAAACTATCTTTATATTTCTAAAAACAGAATAACTTATCAAAAACAAAACATCAATGTCTCTGAGTTCTTCATTTAAATTCTATCCAAAGACTGGTGAAAATTACATATTGTGTACAAAATTTTACTTTAAGGTTTCTTAAGAAACAGGAAAGCAGGCCACGTATTGAGAATCAAGGAAACATCAGCACTAAGATCCTGCATGAACACATGGCCTGGTCACTATTTTTCAACATTTTATATCAATTATACAAAAAAATTATGAAAGTTCTCTTAGCACATTTTTTTTTATAATTCAGTGCATGCATAATATACCATAAATATATCCATCCAACAAACAGGTTTTTACTTTAATAACAAATATCAAATAACACTTGATAATATCTGAAATGATTGCTTACCTTACACCATTTTGGTAATAAATCAATATTCTGTTGTTTTGGTGGTATCATACTATCTATTGAGAATATATGAAATAATGTGGCATTTTCTGGTAATATCTTCTTTTTCTTATATAACTACAATCAAATAATATATATTATTAAAGAAGGTATTTTTATTTATTTAACATCAGTTGCAAATATTGCCATAATTGGAAAAGCTACAATTCTACTGGTTAGGAACCCTGTCAAATTATGATAGACCAAGATATTACAAAATACAATGTCAAATTATTTCAAAAATCTATACCTACTTTAACAGGGTTGTCTTGAGATCTTTTTGAAGCGAGATTTTTAACTCTAAATGATATCTGTTTAACAGTTTTAGCTGGCATTAAATATTTATGTATTAAGTTATAATGTTTTGGTGTTGTTCCAAATTGATCCATAGCCAATGCTATCATTCTATAAAACAAAATTAATATTTTTGAAATATTTGGTTCACATTTGAGCAAAGATTAATATCAAAACTCTTAAAAATGCCTTTTTTGTGGCTGCATGCAAAATCATAATATTTCAAAGAGTTGTAATTTTAAACATCTAATATCATTTTGATTTTCTATGAAAACTGTGTTATTTCAAGTATTAAAAAAGTTTAAATGGACTACCAACTGGGAATTAGAGAGAACTTTTCACCCTTTGCATTGTCTGAAGGAGATTTCAAAGACACTTTTATGTTCAATACTTACTTGTCTTCTCCAGGGGTAAAAAACACACGAGAATCTTTAGCTTCTTTAAGACTCATTAATCTACGTTTAGGCAGAAGTTCAGGATAGAAAAACACTTGATTATTCCAAAATATTTCTTTCTGAGATTCTAATATTGCTTCTGAAATGTTCATTGACAAATTTTAAAAAAATTCACACTTTTAAAGGAATCCTACATAAAATGAAAAGTCCAATGATGAACAGATTCTCATTTTGAACAAATTTGTTGGTCATCATAAGAGGTAGCAAAGGTTTAAGGTTTAATTCAGATTATAAATTTAATTAGCTAAACAATTAATATTTTGATTCACATTTCATAACCATTAGTAAATGACTTGGTTTTGTATTAATCCTATATGAATAGATCAATCACAATAATCCTAGAATTCTTAAAAAAAAGTGATTCACAGATTTTAGTGAAGGTTTTGTTTTTCAGCTAATCAAAGAAAACAATTTTGACTAACAAAATGAAATGTTATTGTGTAAAATTAAACACTGCTCACTTTTTACTAGGCACAGACTTACCACATTTAGCTTGCTGTCTTTTAAATGTACTATCAGTATTATTAAAACCATCATCAGAATCTGATACATTACTGATTGTATCATCAAATGACATAGACTGTATATCTTCTAATTCTTTATCAATATCCCAACATCTATCTTGTTGTATTAACTCTAGAGATTCTGTTAAATTACAGACATTATAACTAGATTTCTCACCCATCATTGATGCCTTTCTAAACATATCAAATTCATTCTGAAATAACAAATTTAAGTTTAATTGAAGGGGTAACAAGCATTTATTCTTTGTCTTTTAAATCATATCTCTTTATCAATAAATAGATGTTCACCTTATCCAAACAGCTTTGTATGCTGCAAATAGCAACCTTTTTCATATGACAAAGTTGCCCTTTTTACATCGGCCAGTTTGAAAATCATGACATCATGAACTTTTTTTCTCAGTCTGTAATACAAAGTTTACCTGCTACAGTGAAACACAGTAGAAATATTTAATAGTCTTAAATGTTTTGAAGAAATTAGAGATAAACTATTAGATTTCAACTATATAGTGAAGCATTGCAATTATTGCAGCCCACATGAAAGATTAAAATAAATATTTACTTACCAAATGTTTGACACATACTTTAGTCATATGTTTATAATCATCACATCCCAAACACAGAAAATAAAACTGAGTGCTTAATTGAATATGCTAGAAAAAAAATTGATAAGAATTTTGCTGAGTATTGTTGTGATCTTATTTGGAACTGACCCTAAATGTCCATTACTTAATTCTGTATCTACTGTACCTGCTATTACTGGGGTCATTTCACGTTATGATATGTATCACAAATTAAGGGCTACATTACAATACACATAATATGGGGTAAAAGATAAAAATGGGGCATGCATTATTCAAGCATTTTTTCACTACCGTATTTTTTCAGAAACTAATATAATTAATAATTCATTGTCGATATACTGACAGTGTACTGATTGTATTGATACAAGACCATGTAATATCATCTATGTATCATGACATGTTATATTGAGATGTATTGATTCACTGTATCCTCTTGCAATAGTACTTACCCTTCTTATCTGATCTTGTAAAATTAAAAATTGACTGGAAGTAAACTGTAAACCTTCTGTTGATGGTTTGTATGATTTATTTTTCTTCTTTTTATTTTCATCTGATTCTGTAGAATCTCCCCTATAATGAAGAAATAAATGCTTGTCTTGTGCTGTTCATTCAAGGCTTAGCATAATAAAGGTACAAGAGGCAAATGCATCACTTTTTGAAAAGTCTGTGTCTGCTTTTCAGATCTTAAAGAAGATTACTACTGTAAAACCACATATTTGTGTAGGTAAGAAACATTTTGTATTTGAAAAGTAACTTTATAAGAATGTAACTGTATTTTTAATATATTTTACCTGGTATATCTCTTTCCCTCTTCATCTTCTTGATCTGATGCCATAAACTCTGTCAGTTGATCTAATAGATCAAACATTTCTTTCTCTACATAACAAAATAGTCATTACATAACTATATCATTGCAAATATATGCCCACCCTTCGTACACTATGAGTAAATGTGGAAAAATCTTTATCAACATAAATTATAACCACGCTTTCAGACACCATTGAGTAATAATATCACATATCATACAGTTTTACCTTACTTAAGCCTACAATCAGATAAGATCATTGATCTGCTGCATTTGTATATGCAAAACATTTTGAGTGTTCATCATGCCCAAGAGATTCTTTTTTTTGCAACTAGCATCTTCTTCAATAAGCATAACAGACCAGGTTAAAAAAATCCAAGGCACTTTTGTCATCATAAAGTGCTTCAATGCTCAACTGAATTTCATATTGTCTGATGTTGTTCACATTAAGCATTGAATAGAAATAGAATAAAATTGTTAATACATACTTGGTATTTTATAGGGTCTACAATATTTATAATCTTCTTCATCTTTCTCTTCATGTTCAGCTTCTCCCAGATAATCATATTCTGGATCATTAGTTTCATCATCACCTACTTCCTGTGATTCTTGTGGTGCTACTGTAATTATAATTCAGACAAATATATTATCTTGAAGAAAAAAATAAATGACTGACATTGAAATGAAAAGAATACATGATTGAACAACGCAGATCATGCTTACTCTTTTCCAAACACCTGATGGTACTTCTTGTTTGAGGAGTCCATTACAATTATTGTTCAAAATTTAGTTGATGTAGTTTTTGGTGACTGGAATTGTTTGGCATATCATAGTTATTTTGTAAATTTGTAGATTCTTACTATATTCCACGAGTATTTATGTAGAGGCAAGAATTCCTAGATCGAGCAACCCACAAAACCAGGAAGAATGATGACTCCACAGTAAAGTATAATGATAAAAATTGTGTAAATACCATCTATTTTAGTAACAGTACCAGTATATAATGAACTAAGAAATTCTTGCCATTCTTCATCTTGTCCTAGATTAGTATCATACATATCTTCTGTTATATCAGGAGCTACTTCAATCAATGTAGATTCTAATTCTATTAGAGATGTAGATGTTAGAGGTAATTTAGATCTGGTTCTTCTAGCTACTGTATCATAAGCACTGTTAATCTGTTAATAGAATCGTGCTATCTTATTATATAAAAGATCAAGGGCAATAACTTTTTATTTTCTTGATGCAAATAACCCCATTTTAAACATATGCTTTATTTGTATTATAAATTTTATAAAATCAGCTAAAATCAAGGAGCTACCAAAGTTTTATTGTGTCAGAGCAAGGGAAATATCTCCATATATCTGTTGAATATCTCCCCATTTCAAACATAAACTTAAATCCTTTGAAAAATAACAGAGCTACAAAATTTACTTACCTCTCTTAGAAGAAACTCTTCATCTGTTTCAGCAACATTATCAAAGGCTTTTGCCAAATCTGTTTTTACTGATTTATTCACAGGTACAGCAGGACTGACAAAAAACTGAAACACATAGAGACAGAAAATGCCAAGCATTGTACTTTTAAGCAATTTCCAAAAGGAAATCAGAAGAAAGAGAGTAAACTCCCTTCCAAAAGATAATCAATAGCAAACATACTGTCAAACATACTATCAAATATATTGTCAAATATACTACTGTCAAATATACTGTCAAATTTACTGTCAAACATACTGTCAAATTACTGTCAAACATACCGTCAAATTTACTGTCAAATATGCTGTCCATCATTTTTATCAATGCCAATAACTAGTCAAATAAAATATTATGAGAAATGATAAGATATTATTACCTGCTTTTTAGAAGTAGATGGTCTAGGATGGCTAGCTGGTGTAGATGGTGTTCGAGGACAAGGAGAACCAAAATCACTAGCTTGTGATGAGAGAAAACTAGTAGATTCATCATCACTCTCTCGTACTGGCTGGAAAAATATATATCAAACTATTTTTTAAACATGTTAATGTAACGATTTTTATTTTGTATTTATGGTGATATCTTTATGTTCGTCATTGGTTAAATTCAATTTGATCTTAAACCATTAAAGCAATAGTAATATTGGCTGTATAAATCATGGACAAGTAAGAATTCTTTAAAGATTTAATAAATGAACTCAAATGGCATACATATTATAGAATACAGAAATAACATCTGTTTTTGAAAAAAGTCACTGAAATTAGGTTGAAATTGTAAATGTACTATTGCGATCAAAGCTTTGATCAAACCATGGATCATCTAATTGTAAGCATACAAGCATAAGCAACACTTTGGTCCCCCATTGCTTCACAAACCTGGATGGAATGACACACAGTCAGAAGGCAAAATACATCTGCATCACAATGAGGACGCATTAAATTATCATGAAAAATATACTTACATCTCTGTCTGGATTATATTCATCATCTTCATCATCAGTAAATTCTAATTCTAGAAAACTTGGTTTATTTTTACTACCAGTCTTCAATGGTGACAAGGGCCACACTTGGGGAATCTACAATAAAACAAATATCATAATACACTGGTGCAAGACAGTGTGAATGTAACCGAAAAATCTTTAAGTAACAAAATTTAGTAACTTCATTACTGAAATATGGCTTGTGATTCAGGTCTATTTGTCAGACACCTTTAGAAAGGTGTAGTATTTTATTCTGTTCTTGAAATGAAAAGACATTGTTAAGTACCTCATTAGGTGCATTAAACAAGAGGCACAATAAAAAATATATTTTATGAACTAAATAAGATTACCTTTCCCTTTTCCATCACTTCTTTCATTTTAGACCTGGTCATTTTAGGTTCATAAGTAGCTTCAACTAGGTGTTTTGTTTGGTCTGATGTGTTCTCTATATCTTCAGTTGCTATTGTATTTTTAACCATATCAACTACTTCTTTACTAGTAATTACATGCTGGAAAATACAGTACCGGAATGCATATTACAGATCTAAAATGTCCTAATTAAATAACCATTGAAAAATTTCACTAGTTTAATAGTCTAATAGTGGGAGGATAATCCACATTTTTTTAAAATAAGCTGTCATGATGAGATAATCTCTTGTTAGTTAGAAATGAGCTGAGATTTCTTTTAACTACTTTACTCTTTTCCTGTTTTACAGTCCTATTTACTGCTTAATATGCTCACTATTCATATATCTACCAAAATAGGATAATTGCAGATACAAATAGCGGCAAGTTCACTTAATAATCAACAATTTATCATACATGTCCCATTGATTCCAAAAAATATCAACAATAAGATTACTTACACGCAAGATATTTTTAACATTATTAGCCGTCAGGTGATTTTTTGAGGCATCCTCTGTTAGTTTTTCTTCTAAACCATCATCTTCACCTACTACCTTATCATTTTCACAAACCATTTCTTCTTCAGATTCATCAGAATGTATGTGTAGAACATCTGAATCACTATCATCATCATCGTCATCATCATCATCTACATTACTTGCCTCTACATCTCTGATATAAATAGCAAATACAAAAATATAGTCATCTCTTAAAATAGAGCTGTGTGTCACTATTTTCAGGGCTCAAACTGGGTTACCATTATATGCAAATTAACATTTTTTCCTTTCAAAGCATTTCTCTTTTGCAAAGCCAGAATTTCAATAGATCTTCCAGATAGATATTGTTTCATGTCAGCCACTATCCCAGCTATCTTTATATGTTATGCATTATCATCCAAAATAAACAGAAGAAACTTAATTATTTCTAAACTTCTAGTTGAGACAGACACAGGACGAAATATTATGATATTGCATTTAGCACTATTCTAACATTTTGCTATTATTATTTGCAAAAAAATACAAACCTTTTAACACTGGATTTAGTCTTAGACTTTGTCTTTTTACTGACTTTATCCATTTCAAAACTTGATTCACATGATTCATTGACTGAACTATAACTAGCATCAGGTGAAAAATCCATATCTTCTTCATCATCAGCTTCTTCTTCTTCTTCTTCTCCCATCAGATCTTTTATCTGATGTTTATCAATAGTTTGTATTTTATCATCACCAGATTCATCAATCTTGGTATCATCCTCCATCTTGAAAGCAGATTTTAGCTATTTAGAACAACTATAGTTTCATTCTTGCAATTATTTATCTTAACCCCTGCAAATAATAAAAAATGTACCAGTATTTCATGAACAAGAGGACTATTACTATATCCTCATCATCCTGGTAGATAAAGTTTGGAGACGCTAAATGTTAAAGGCTGTAGCATTAAAAATTTTTACCAGGAGATGGATCACCTACCTATGCTAGATGCATGGTGAAATATATCATCCAACAAGGTCTACTATTGTCTTTGTACATGTCCTGTAGGTAGGAGTGTAACTGTAGGAAGATCTAAATCTATACTGACTGCATCTTTTATCTTTAAAATTGTTTTACACTGGACAATCTTAAACCAATATTTGGTTTAGGCCTTAGCTTGTTGTCAGTTGAAATGTCTTTGAGGGAGGTGTATTTTAATTTTGATACTAGTCCACTTCAGCACTTGTTTGACATTTCTTCTTGTGGGGTTATTATTTATTGTCAAAATGAAATGAATGTTTGAATACCGGTATTCTTTATCATTACAAAATAATACTTTCAAATGCAAGAGAATCATTGAGCAACTGTTTATATCAATGATAAAAATGAGGTTTGGACTTAAAAAATTAATCATAACAGATACAATCTAACAAAAACAAAACAAAAACAAAATTTTCTCTTATTTACCCGCCATATTGTTTTAAAGAACATCCGGTGCGCACATTCGCCACATTGCCAATGTGGACAATACCAAATCGCCCCATTTCGGTGATGTGCTGTTCCATCTGCTGTTTACTAAAAAAAAAAGGGTTTTGATGACAAAGTTTATAGCCTGCTCTAAATCCTATTTTATGTTAAATCTTGGAGTAATTTCAGTCATTGCTCCAAGGTTAAATCAACCCAATTAAATCGGTAGTATAGTCTATATTTCAACAGATAATACTTCACGTCACGATCATACCCTAAGGTAGCCCCTTTACGTCTGTTAATTATCAACTCTAAACAGCCACACAAAGATAAGAGTTTGATTTTTTTAAATATTTTTTCAATCATATCAAATTTTGTTCCACACTTTGCTGATATGCAGATGTTACTTTTTAACATGAACGTGAAGAATTAAATTTGGGTGGCGTGCTTGAATCCAAATGTTACAATATGAGTTACCTCCCTTCATATATAATTTTTACAAAAGCATACATAGTAGGCTACAGATCATCAACGATGGACTACCATTTTGTCCTACAACAAGGGAATACGTTATCCGAGTGCAGCTGCATTTCATATTTCATATTTTTCTTGCTTGACTTGTACTCCAGATCAATTTACTCTTGACCTCTCATGCTTCAATATGGCCTGTTGCCCTTTGGATTTAGCCCCTGTTATACTTATTGTTGGATATCTATGCATTTTTCTCTTTTACTTTAACCCCACCCCCTCATTATTAGTCTCCTTGTTAGATATTTGTTTTTCCTGTTAGTCCATTTTCTTGTACATAGATATAACAATATCTACTTGGATCCTCCTCATACAGAGGTATTCATCTTGGGGGTTATTGCTCCCTTCAACTTAATTTGGATATAGCCTGTTCCTCTTTGATCCTCACCACACTGGGATAAAGTCTGTTCCACTTTGATCCTCACCATACTAGGATAAAGCCTAACTGTTCCACTTTGATCCTCACCATACTGGGATAAAGTCTGTTCCACTTTGATCCTCACCATATTGGGATAAAGCCTGTTCCACTTTGATCCTCTCCATACTAGGATAAAGCCTGTTCCACTTTGATCCTCACCATACTAGGATAAAGCCTGTTCCACTTTGATCCTCTCCATACTGGGATAAAGCCTGCCCCACTTTGATCGTCACCATACTAGGATAAAGCCTGTTCCACTTTGATCCTCTCCATACTGGGATAAAGCCTGCCCCACTTTGATCGTCACCATACTAGAATAAAGCCTGTTCCACTTTGATCCTCACCATACTAGGATAAAGCCTGTTCTCTTTGATCCTCACCATACTGGGATAAAGCCTGTTCCACTTTGATCCTCTCCATACTGGGATATGCTAGCCTGTTCCGCAGTGGTCTTCTCCATAGATGAATTCGTTTCTTCTTTGACTCTTTTCATTTTGGAAATAGTCTGTTCTCTATATCTAGTAATATCCTATTTGGTGTATCTTCATACCTTTGTACTCCTTTTTTTATCCTCTCCATGATTGGATAAAATCTGCTCAATTTTGGTCCTTTTTTCCACTTTAGTCACTAGAGGACTGGGTAGGCCTACAGTAAAATGCAACTTGTATTTCACGTTGGCGTATGAAATTATTCAGACGAAATCTGCCATGTCTAAATCAAGAGAATATAATTGAATTAGCATCGTAATTTCTGTCGACTCTCTGTGTGTCAAATAATAAAACAAAATAAAAGCTTTTTATGTCTTGTTTATTTAGCAAGTTAAAGCAATCCCCGTGAACGTGACATACGTCAACAATAATTGTACTTGTGAATTATTTAACAGTTCATTCAATTTCAGTTTATGGACGCTTGGATTTTGTCACATTTTTATTTTAGGTCTTTATTTTCTTTCTAAACATTGTGAATTTTAAATTCATTCGAGAAGAAGATAGGATTCAGGTCAATGAAGATTCATCTTCACAATGTCAAGCTATTACGAACTATACCTTGACTGCAATAAACTCTTTTCTTGTATCACAGTAAATGCAGTGATTTTATTGGATTGTACGCTAGCGAATACAGGCAATCAGAGCTCTCGACAGAAAGTCTGTAAACTATAAGCCATAAAAGTTACAGAATTTCTTCCCAGGGCTCTAATTGGTAGTATTCGATGGCGTATAATCCAATCAAATCACTACATTTTGTGATACAAGAGTAGCAGTCAAAGTGCTAAACGACGTTCGTAATAGCTTAACATTGTGAGATTGTAGAGTATGTCTTCTCGCTGGTATTTAATCGCCTAAATGTCAGAAAATCAAGAACTTCTTTAATTGGTCGATTAAAAAACCTACCTTTTGAATTTGAAATCTTTAAAATATAAACTTAATTTGCAGTCATTGTTTTTCTCGATGGAAAATTCAATAATTCTAGAATGAAGACTATTATTCATTAAGTGGAATGACAGATATGTGAGCAATTAAATATGTCGATATCGTTAAGTGAGGTTTGATCTCAATAACCCCATATCAATTTACATTTGACAGACATTTCAAATCCGGGTGAAATATTCCATATTATTCACATCTCCAGTCATTCTAGCTTCTGATGATGTCAATGATTATCATGTGGGTTTTCCTGTTTTGTATGGATCACAACATTCTTGGGAAAATGTCTTTTACTTTTATATCCTCGGCATGAACGTTTTAGATTTACAGCTATAAACGTTTTTGGTTTCTTTCCTTTGTATAGCAACTGTTAACCATGACCCAATCCTCGCCAAAGCTAATTTCAATTTACAGCCCATAGTGGCTTTTGGTTTCTTAGCTTGTATGACGATTGTTAACCACGACACAATGCTCTCCAAAGCTCTTCACAATCTACAGCCCATAGAGGCTTTAAGTGCCTTTGCTTTGTATATGATGGTTGTTAACAACGACAGCATACTGGCGAAAGTTTATTACATTTTTACATTCGTGAAAAATGACTTTTGGTTTCTTAGCTTGTTGGCGGCTATTTAAGATCACATCATCCTCTGGAAAGAATTTTTTTTATATAGCTTTGAATTGTGGCGTTTGGTTTCTTAGCTTTGTAAGACGGTTGTTAACGATCAATTTATCAATCAGTCATCCTCGAGGAGAACGTTTTAGATTTACTATTTACAGCTATGGATGCTGTTTCTTGGTTTCTTAGCTCTGCAAGGCGACTTTTTATGATCATATTGTCCTAAGGAAGGCTTTTAGGTTTTTGAATGGTGGTTTTCATGTTCCTTTAGCAACGGTACGATGATAATGATCATAGTGAATGATCATCGTACCGTCGATAAAGGAACATGGGTGGTTTTAAGTTATGGTGTCTCAGATTTGAATTATAACTGTGACATCCTCAGTCAAGTCTAGTCTCTACCTTTCAGAGGCCTGTGAGGAGGTACCTCTAAATACGTTACTGTTCATGGCATAATAATATATTCAGATTCTCTACCGAAAAGTAAAGATTTAACAAATGTTCGTTAAGATGGTCATGTACATTATGAAGCTCGATAGAGATAAACTAGAAAATTATAACCCGAAAACGCTTCGAGCTCGTCTGCCGGTTGAAAAGCATTTCAACAAAAACTTTTCAGAGAGTGATTGGCCATCGTATAAGAAGCAACAAAAGAAAAATTATCAGCAAAGAAGGAATTTCAGACTTCATCTATTATCGAAGTGAGTCAGCCAATAAAATTGGACCGAACACCAAAATATCTTGATAAAATTCGATCAGCAGCCAGTACAGTAGTTTGTATGACGTATCTGCCAGCATTCATTGAAATAAGCCAATGAATTGAAAGCAAGTCTGCAGGTGGCAATCAAGTGATTGAGTTGTTAAACCCTGCCATTGATTCCCTAAACACCGAAATTAACCCCGATAGAGGAAAGGGCCAAAATCTATCTCTCATCATCTTCATTTAAAGTGCTCTTAATTTCCTGACTATGAATAAGTATTCACAGACAAAATGGCCGTCTTGAGATTCCACGTGCCACGTCCGTCACCTGGGTTCACCTTATCGACCGCGCATGCTCATTAAACATATAGACGTAATTACATCCCAAAAGATTTGTGGAAAGGTTATTTAGGGCCGAGAAAACGGAAATATCAATCAAGAAAGATGGATTATTAGTTACCCGAATCCTTGTGCTTGAAAAGATCTGCGTGTTGTTATTGAGAAATGAATCATGCTAGTAGACCTAGATCAAAGTATAAAAGAAAAGTAACAGTGTTTATTTAACTTTTTTAACTTGGTGCTCTACTTGACAGAATTCCTATTTGATTCTTAAATGTCTTGTAATGCCTGTTGGTCTTGAAAACATATCTGAATACTGACTGACAACCATAACACCAAGTACCACCCATGGATATAGCCAGATTACTCCTGTTTGAAACCCACTTGTCGGCACTTGGTGCCCAAATACAAAGTATTTATCACCGCCATTACTAGAGTAAGCCGAATGGCTCGAGTTCCTTGAAAACTTATCTTAAAAATAAGCGGCAAATGAACTTTTTGTTCTATTCGGCAATGCTCAATTACCCAGTTTACCCACAGAATTCCAAACTATAATTTATTCGCCATTATCACTACATGTAGGTTTACTTGAATTTATCAGTAGTTGAAGACCGCAGCATTTTGAAACGACTTTTTCTTGTTCTGCTTCAATTTAACATGGATTGCCCTGTAGACTTATAGTGTTGCTCTTCTTCAAAAGTCAAACTCTGCAAACAAAGGCAATCCAACCATTTAGGACCAAATCAGGATACCCAAGCTACCCGTAGTGTTTGATACCCATTGGGTTCTCAAGCATTTTCGTCATCAACAGCACAACGATAATAAGAATTGTAGTAGAAAGAATTAAAGATTTGAAGTGACGTATGTCTGCTGACAAAATTGTCTTGTTAATTCAGCCACCCGATAGGAATAGTCAAATCATGGCCATCAGACATGAATACAATTATAGAGAGATAGGGTAAATAAAGTTAAATAAATGTTATATTTGGTAGCTTCTACAACAACCATTAAATCTTATTGTTAAATTTCAGCTTTAATCTTTCCCCCCTACTTCACTGATTGGGTCGTCTTATTGAAGAGGGTAGAATGAGATTGAACATCTTCTATTAATCTAGTATGGCCATCAAAGATCAATATTTTAAATTGCTAGATGTTGTTCACTAAATCTACGTCTTTTTCTTTCCCTTCTCGCTAACTCTTACTCTCCGACGCCTTATCAATATATTGACACTTCTTTCATTGTTAATTCGACAAGCGTATTTGGCGAGAAAGAAAATAGATATTTTAGCGACTCGTTTTAATTGGATGAAAACTCTGGGAATTGAACAGTTCCATGTCACCATCGCGTCTTTCATTTTTTTCACAACATTTTTCAACCTTTTTCATTAACATTAATTACTTGTCTAACTAGCACATGTCGAGTTCTAATTCTCCAAATAGAGAAATAGGATTTTTCAATTAAAATCTGGTCATGTTTTTCTTCCTGTGAAATGATTGATCATTACGTGATGCTTCCTGTTTAAATTCAATCAATGTGGAAACTGGAAAAATAAGATCTGCTCCATCAAAGCTCAGTAAAACATCTTTGTCTGATCCTAAAAAAACTGTAACAGATATGATGTGAAAAAGTGAATGATCTGATAGATTTCTATACGATTCTAGTTATGAGGGCTTTCACATTTAAGGAACATATCATCCAAGGTTTACGATTTTAAAGGGATTGTGAAGAGGTTTTCTATACTTTTTATGTGTATTGGAAACACGTATAGCACTAATTTGCACCATTCCAAATGTCAGACTTCTGCGAAAACCATTAAAACTACGCACTATCGCCAGATCCTTGGATGTTATTAACAGCTTTTGCGATAGTTACGTCAAAAAACGTATAACAGAATATATTGGGATGATGATCAGTACCTTCGACTCAGAAACACAGTTTAGAAATTACATTTATTATTATTATTATTTAGAATCCATTTAAGATTTGATTCATATTATTTTTCCCAACAATTGAATGGTCGAGGGTCAATGTTCAGTAATACATCGATGAAATTTATACAGCATTTTTATAGTCGACTTTTAACAGCAACCAACTGCCAGTCTATCCAAAACTCTGATTTTCTAGGTTTGAAATATGACTGCATTTTCAGACAAAGATAGTTTGTGATGGAACATAATATTCTGGTAGAGCTACTTTCATTTTAACTGAATTCCGGACCATGTCTAGGTTGTAGAGGATAAGACAATGGAGTCCTTGAAGCTGATAATAGTTTAAGTATTTATTAATAACTCCTATCCATTATCAAGCTGTATTGACCGACCTAATATCTCGACCTTCCCTTTCTTTGCACATGTCATGTGACTATTAATGTGTCAAGGATTTAAAAGCCACTGGATGACAAAGACACGGATATGTAGGACATGAGTATTCCTTGAAAATGTTCCATACATTGTAGTCATTCTTCAGAACTAACGAGGAAAAATTATTCACATATATACCAAAATAGCATAATCAAATTCTACTTTTAAAAAAATTACCCCCTCCCCCTTTCCAGAAGAATGAAATAGAGTGCTAATCTATGTTGGTAGGCTGCATATCTCCTTTAAATAAGATTTTTCACACAACATGGCAGTCGCTACATTTGTAAATTGTAAATCACAAAGAAGTATTGGAATAGAGCTTTAAGGCCTTTCTTTGATTAAACTTTAGTTAATCAAAATTGTGTATTATGTTATTCCCTTTAAAGTTAATATTACATAGTCTTCGCAATTATCAGTAATAAAATACCAACTTCGTCTTCATTATCACACTACTTAATACAATTATCTCCCTTTGTTTTTCAACTTTTAAACGACTAAACTGTATCATGAATCACGCACGAGATATAAAATATTCTACTGTAAAATAACAGTAATCAACAAATTTAATTTCCCGCCTAATTCACTGTTGATCACATGCATAATGATTTCAGATTTCTGCAATGCACGTGCTCTTTCATGTTTGCTGAGGCTGGCCTTCACAGTTCCAGCTGTCAAATTACTGACAATATTTTGGTTAAAATACACATTTTAGGTCACGCGCTGTTAATTATAGTAGGCGTTATGTTTGTTATTTGAAAATTAACAACGTAAATGAAGTGCGGACTAAACTCGGATCAAATAAGAAAGAAACAATCAATTGTAACAGCTGGTTGCACTATCTGTATATTACTATTGTAGTGAAGAAGACATCGACAATATCGTATCATCTTGAACTATATAAACTTTACTATAACACATTCAATAGGTACAATCAACTTTATAAATCCAAGATAAGCTCAATGCCAAACGTTATCTAAGTTCATCTCTAACTATTTTTTCTTATTAATATTGCCATTTTGCTTTCATCATTTTCTATGTTAAAATGAAGTCGTATATTTTGAATAATTATGTAAGTTATTTAATAGTTAGTAGACTATGTCTTAGTATATGTTTTAAGAAGTTATAATCAAAATTTTATTTGAGCCGCTCTGTAGCACAGTCGGTTAGAGCGTTGGAAACTTTACATGACGTCGTTTGCTTGATTACGTCGAACAAATTGTGGTTGTGGGCTCTTATCCCAGTCGGTGTATAGAAATGGTACGAAATGTGATAATGCAAAGGATAATAAGATTGAACTCAAAAGCATTTCTTGTACATGTATACGTCTCTTCCTTAGATACAAGTATAAAAACAAAACGTATTGCTAAAAACTGTATCACGTTACACCGTAAAGGCAATATAATATACAACTTTAAGAGACCGAAGCGCCATTTTATATCTGTAGATAGTCTTCAGAAGTACGAGAAATGTACGTAAATCGCACAATCCCTTCAAAAATATCTCAAACTAGGAATTTCTTTTTCATATTACTATAGATGTTTTTCTATATGGGAGTGTATAAAAAAAGACTCGTCTTTTTAACATTCAAACGCGGATAATTCTGGACACACATGAATTTGAAGGCTCAAATTTCGACGATGAGATGTGAAGACTATTATTGATTAGCTTAGCTAAAAGTACGATTGGTAAAAACATGGGGCATCTTTCCCTTTAAGCTACCCTATTTATTTTGTTTGATTTTTTAAAGCTAAAGTATCCGATGTTCTGTTAATTAGTTTGATAAATATAGATTGATTATCTATCACATTAGTCCCAGACATTTCATAGTAAAAATATCATAGCCAGATTTTTATGATATTTGATGAGCAGGATTTAATAATATTCAGTCTACCATTCTTAAAAATCAATAATCCATGGATTTTTTACTCGCCAAATAAATTCAGTCCCTTGTCAACTCTTAATCCTTTATTCATATTTTGTTTTAAAACTTGGAAATTTTCTCGAAATCCTCAGTGCAGAGTATTGTGAGAAAATATAGTCAGAGACACATTGAATTTGAAGTTATGTGAATTTAGACAAGAATCAGGATCAGATAAACTAAACTAAGAGACGAGTTGCACTCAGATAAACGGATAGAAGAGTTGAAATCGGATGAACTGAGATCAGATCTGAAAACAGAAGAAGAATATTGGAATCAGATGAGCTGAGAGAAGAGTTGAAATCAGATGAACTGAGTGAAGACTTTAACTGAGATGAACTGAGAGAAGATTTAAAATGAGATGAACTAATAGAAGAATTGAAATCAGATGAACCGAGAGAAGACATGCACTCAGATGAACTGAGAAAAGCCTTGAAATCAGTTGAACTGAGAGAAGACTTGAAATCAGATGAACTGAGAGAAGATTTGAAATCAAATTTACTGAGAGAAGAGTTAAAATGTGGAATGCAGATGAACTGAAACAAGATAAACTGAGTCAAGGTAAACAGAAACAAGATAAACTGGGTCAAGGTAAACAGAAACAAGATAAACTGGGTCAAGATAAACAGAAACAAGATAAACTGGGTCAAGATAAACAGAAACAAGATAAACTGAGTCAAGGTAAACAGAAACAAGATAAACTGGGTCAAGATAAACAGAAACAAGATAAACAGAAACAAGATAAACTGGGTCAAGATAAACAGAAACAAGATAAACTGGGTCAAGATAAACAGAAACAAGATAAACTGGGTCAAGGTAAACAGAAACAAGATAAACTGAGTCAAGATAAACAGAAACAAGATAAACTGGGTCAAGATAAACAGAAACAAGATAAACTGGGTCAAGATAAACAGAAACAAGATAAACTGAGTCAAGATAAACAGAAACAAGATAAACTGAGTCAAGGTAAACAGAAACAAGATAAACTGAGACAAGTGAGGCATTAATATTGAGTGTCACTTACACAAATCTTGAAAATTGCAAATAATATGAGAGACAGAGACAAAAGTTAAGTTTCAAGAGGATGACAGCGGAACAGTTTTAATTTGTATATCATAAAAAAAATAAACCCATATTTAAAACAATACACAAACTTCTATTGAAAGAAAATCAATTTAATCTAAGGTCAATCTCACGACAACAGAACATAGAATGTTTCACTTGATGTAGAAAAGATTTAATCAAACATCATGTATTTTTAATTAGGGTAAATTGAAAGATAGAGGATGCGTCTACACACGAGATACTATAGAAATATTGATAGTTCCTAACTAATTGACTTAAACAATTTTCACTATCTTCATTTCCTGCTCTTTTATAATCTCTGGATGGTATAAATCAAGATTAAATATTCTTTAAGATAACTTCTGAAGAGATCACTTTACTTATTCTGCTGTTTTACACCACTTCTTTTTTGCAAACGTAGAAATAAGAGGTCTAGTTATTACTTCACATGTCTACAAGCATGGCGCAAAAGAGCCCAAAAGTTTGCTCGGATGTTAAAAAGCTGAAGACATAAGACAATGCAATCCTATTGTTAATTCCATTTGACTGATTTACTGGAAAATAGCTGCATTGTTTCAACTTTTTAAATTGTGTTCTAGTCTACGAACAATCTATTTTTCTTGTATAAAAACGATGCAGTTCCAAGAATGATCTTGTTTTTATTTCATGAGATGACATGATTTAATGGTTCACAGGTTTTACATGTACATCTATATGTCTCTTTTCAGTTCACATTAAATCTTATTGAAACGGAATCAGTAGAAACAATGCGACTGTTTATTGAATCAATGATAAAAATACTCGAGCCATTCTGTCCTATCTTTATCTTCGTATACATGGAAAGCTTTTACTTTCAACTAGATAAATTAATAATGCACAAGTCTAACAACAATAAAAATGGATTTGGGAAGATTTTTGACAATTGTCAATTTCATGTTTGAATGATCAATTTCTTTCTAGTGTTAAGAGCATGAATATTAAATGAAGAATTGATAGAGAAGTATAATTTAGTTGTATATCTTATATAATGTCCTATCACACGACATCGTGATCTAGAGAAAACCATATGTCAATTGAAAGCTATAATTAAGAAATACTGTTATTCTTAATCAATGGTTAGCGTGTGATGCAACTACATTTGCACCACATAATGCTTGGATGGTCTTTAATGGTTGTTTTTCCAATTTTATTGCCGTGTATCATGCTTTTACAGTGAACACGTAGAACATTAGTAGCTGAACTGTCTGTTTTAACATTCATATATTATTTATTGAAATATCAGTGTTTATATTATCAATATTTTTATTCTCCCACTGTGTTGTTTTTTTTATTGTACAGTGTCATTACCTTTATTGAATCTCTTCAACGATGTGTCAATCTTAATTTACTACTACTGTATTTTTTTATTCGTGACTTGGACAAATAATTAAACCAAGGAATACGCTCCGTCAAGGATCAGAACCATATCCTATAGTTTCTCTCTTCTGTTATTTATTATCTCTGTTTATCTGATTTGAACTATTGTCTCAGTTCATCTGATTTCAATTCCTCACTCAGCTAATCTTATTTCAATTCTCTTTAGTTAATTTGATATTTACTTCTCTCAGTTCATCTGATTTCAATTCTTCTTTCAGTTCATCTGATTTCACAGTTCATCTGATTTCAATTCTTCTCTCAGTTCATCTGATTTCAATTCTTCTCCCAGTTCATATGATGTCAACTCCCCTCTTTCGATTGATCTGATTTTAATTCTTTTCTCAGTTCATCTGATTTCAATTCTTCTCTCGGTTCGTCTGATTTAATCATTATCTCAGATTATCTGATTTCAACTCTTCTCTCAGTTCAACTCTTAGTCCATCTGATTTAATTATAATCTCAGTTTATCTGCTTTCAACTTTTCCTCAGTTCATCTGATTATAATTTTTTTCCCAGTTAACTGATATAAATTCTTCTCTCAGTTCATATGTGTTACAACTTTTCCCAGTTCATCTGATTTAAATATTTCTCTCAGTTCATCTGATATCAACTTTTCTTTTATGTTATCTGATTTCAACTTATCCCTCAGTTCACCTGATTTCAAATATTTTATCAATCCGTCTGACTTATATTTTTGCTCAGTTTTATCCTATTTCAAATATTTTTCTGATTTTCTGATTTCAGCAGCCTTTATCTGAATTCAACTAGGCTCATATCTGTGTTTGAATTGTTAGAAAGTAAAAATACTTACACAATTATTGTAGATTTTATTTTCATTTAGAACATTATAGGCTTACTAGTTGATTGTTATTTGACGTATTATACCAAGTGCATTTAACTTATCTGCTATATAAACACTCGAGAAATTACAAAAAGCGACAGTAAAAGACTGTTTACTAATTTACCTACGTGCGATAGATTTCGTAATACAGTCGTAAACTTTTCTTAAAATAGGATTCATAACTGTGTTCGAGATAAATCATTCTCTATACAAAACAGTTTATATTTTATTGTATTCCTGAAAGATCTGTCTGTTGATAAGACTTAAACACAGAGAAATATTTCAAAACCTACAAATCATATTATATATCTTACAAAACTTTTTGTACTTGGCGCCATTTTCTGTTTGCATTGTCAACGTTTTTACGTAGGTGTATATATTTTAAGATAGATATATGATAGTGGTAACAAATGAGTATTGTCTTTTCATCATCTTCTTTCAACAATGGACAGAGTTAAAGGGATTGAAAAGAGTTTTCAAAATGTTTATGAGTTTTGGAGACACTGATAGTATCGATTCGTTCCATTCCAACATTGCAGGGGCTATCGCAGAATTTTTTAGAGTTGTGTCATACACGGTTAAGCATTTTTATAATAACATGAGCCACAGAAGCCATAAATTGTCATAAAAAGAAAACCTCCGTACACTCCCTTTATTTGTACATTGTCTTAGTCAATTGTGATGGAAAACTTTATTGAAATATAATAGATTATATTTGATATGACGTCACAAAACTCATGACTTCATAATCATAGAATGGTAACCTTATTTCTGTGGAGAATTACAATTTTCTGTCTAAAGCACATATGGAGGCTACATTAATACACAGGCTACATAAATATATTATTTAATTATAAAATTTATATTCAGCAATTGCCTTTCTTACGAAATGTGTCAAACTTCGAAACTTACTAAATTTCTCAAAACATACCAAGTATATCGTGGACTACTAGGTGAGAAATTCTTACAAATAAGAACACACAATTTCATGTTTAAGCTGATATTAATCTTAACGCTATATTTCCTTTTAGTCTACATTAAGAAATAATTGGTAAAAATATCGCTGTATTATGAAATGTAACATGAAGTCTATATAGTTCTAATTAATTTGTCAATGAAATCCTGAGAGATTATAAGAATCGGATCACATCAGATAGTTTTACCCCTATCATTCATTATAGAGCGGAGAGGTAGTCTGGCTGTAGAGACAATGTTAGGGATAACTCCACCCTTTAATCAATATGTAGAAGAGGAATGACTCTAGTGGGATTGTACAGCTAGAAATTGATACTGTCAGTTTCCTTTCTCTTTCACGCAGTTTACCCCGTATGGAGCCTAGAGTAGCACATGTTTATATTTAATTTACTCACCGATGGGTAAAGGATGTAGTTTACATGTGTAGACAGTCTGTTAGTTTTACTGATTGACAACTTTCGACAGACGACATTCCATAGCAGACGACATTTTCCAGTTATCTTCAAAACTTTTTCTGGAACGACGGATTTAACTAAAACAAAAAAAAAGTTATTTTTGTGGAATTGTGTGAACGCGAGGAACGTTTCTGGGAGATTTTCAGAATTGAAATATAAACTTTGATGACATTTTGATAAAATACGAGATATTCCAGACCTCAGAACAAGATTCGTGTATGTCGGATGTCATAATTTGAACAGACGTAAAAAATCTGTGATATCACGATAAAAGTTTAAAACTGGGCAGTGACAGAGGAAAAAATAGCGATTTTAATAAGGTTTATTACTCAACCTTTCAAATATAATTTCCGCTGTCCATGGAATAAAGTCTGGAAATTTTTAAAATTCAGACGCAATTTGTAGACGTGAAAACGGAAGATGAATTTTGGACTTGCGTGAGACATAAGGTTCATTACATTGTCTGAATAATATCACCACTATATTTCACCCCTACTAGAAAGTGCAGAGATTATAGAGAATTCATCAAATGTTTGCTGTTTTTTGTGTTTTTACTGAGTTCGATGTTCGTTGTTTTCTAGTGTTAACAGAAACACAAATAAACTTTATGTTGACTATGTTGTTATTTAAACTGTGTGTAAAATAGAAACAATTACGAGAACTTGTTGTTAGTAATTTTATAACATTACAATTCGATAGTTTTAATGGAAATCTGTTAGTTTCTGTGTTATAAATTCACCATCTGAGACTCGTCGGTGAGAAAGTTTTCACTTTGTTTGAAAAGTAACTAAAAGACATTACTCTTTGTTTAGTTTCAATACAAACCAGTAATAAGTAAAATACTAGTATTGTACTGTTTCACAAGCTGAATAGAAAAGTTAAAGATCTTACATGTTGGTAGCTTAGTAACTTGTTGACAGTCGACTTATTCTGGATTACACAGTGTTTTTGATGTAATGACAGTTATAAACATCAGAAGAAAATCAAAATGTGTGATTTAGCAGTGATTTTATTTATATTTTTACACCTAGGTGAGTTTTTATCATTTTTAATTAAGCATTTTTTCAGCAGATACCACATGAAATTAAAATGGTGCCCGTGGTCAAAATTATTCCACCAACTCTGGAGTATTACATAATATATTCATTCATCTGAATACCTAACTGTACCTGGTCCTGACTTTTAACAGGAATGTTGTGTGGCTAAGTTACAAAGGTCCCAATGCCTCATTAGCTAGGCTATAGTTACAATGTTA